GTCTACAGAAATGAGTTTCCTGCAGACAGGCTATCGCCGCTTTGGACGAGCGTAGTTCCTGCGCTGCTAACCTTAGTTTATGGGGGCTATTAAGGCCTTTAACGTTAAGGGAGAACAATTGCATTAAGTTAACCATTGGATTTGGGATTAGGGGTATTTTTTTTGGCAGGTGCTAGTCGGTCTGTGAGGGGGATCTCTTTGGTACTGTATGTCGGTGCGTGGCGGTTTCCGGACCGCGTTCTGAGAAGGTTGGTTGGGGTTTGCACATTGTGATCAAGCCTACAGGTTATCAGGCAGTACAACCAGGTATTGGACAGTGGTAGAAACGTAAACATAAGCAAAAACAAGTAAACAAAGTATGTACAAGGTGCCCCTTTGGTCGTGGGCATTCTACGCGATTGGTCTGCGGCCCATGCCGGAGCCGGTCAGCCTGGGTGGCGTGATCTAAGGAGAGCGGCCATGTCAACGACCCTTTAACCCCTTAAGGACACATGACATGTGTGACATGTCATGATTCCCTTTTATTCCAGAAGATTGGTCCTCAAGGGGTTAAACATGGTTTGAGACATAAGACTTCTTTGATGTGTAGGACCTTTGTGTGTTTTACCAGTGTGTGGTGTTTTTTTTTGTTTTGTTTTTTGTTATGTGTCACCTTGCTCAGGGCCTGTGTGTATACCCCTGTACAGGAGAGGTCTTCTAAGACCTCTGAGGTGTGTCGTGTCAGTGCTGTGAAGCGTGTCATTGCATACATCAATTCAGTTGGGGATTTCACACACAGTCCTGGTAAATGTTATATTTAAACTCTTTTGGTATGTGTGTACATGTGTGTGTATATATATATATATATATATATGGTGGGAGATAGTAAATAATGCAGAGAAAACCAGTGACTGTGGCCCAAATAATAAAACCAATAGTATGCAATGTATTCCTCATGTATGGACATGGTCTAGGTTGTAAACTTATGATAACATTCATGCATTCAGTTAGTAATCCTTATATATCCTTCCCATATATATATGATACAACTTTTACAGCTTAAGCATACGAATGGCTATGCTGATGGGAGTTGCAAGTCTCTTTTTTCTCCATATGCAGACTTACATGTCTTTTAATGCCCGTCCGGACGGGGCCATAAGAATTTATTGTGGTACTGGCTACCTATTGTGCAACATAGTATATATAACATTTTGGGAGACATCCCAGAACTTTCTTACCAACAGCTCATCTATTTCAGATGTAGTAATGTGTAGGGAGGACACCGAGGGTGTGATCTAATACAAATCTATGGTTTACTGCAGTTCAGGTATGAAAGACTTTGAAAAAGTAATAGCAAAGTGATGAACCGAGTGTTATGTACAAGTAATATTCTAAGGAGATGATAAGGGCAAACAACCTTTAACAGCCATTACTGGACTAACCACAAAGAATGAACTAGTGTGTTCGGTTGATAAAGAAATGTACCCAATAGATGGCCCATCTGAGTTTAATGTATTAATTAAATTATTGCAAGCACCGTATTGATTAGATACAAGCCATGTCCTCCTCATACAGTTTAATTGCATTTTCTACATAAAGCATGTTATGGTTTGAATGATATCAAACTCAAGATTAATTCTAGACGTAGAGGGTGCAAATTGACACTTGGAAATTTCCTTCGTCGAAAGCAGGTACTAAATCTTCTATCATTCTTGCAATCAACTCTTGAGCAGTATTGGGTAATATACAGTTCTGAAGTGCTGCAATAAGCAAGTATGCTGCATAAAAGTGACTAAAATGAAATCGATGGACTTGGTATACAATGAAGCATGTTACAGTGAATTTACCTGCATCGAGTCAATTGATTTCATTATGATCCTTGAGTTGGTTCCCTTACATTAAAAAGATCTCAGAGAAACATAGATTTGGATGTCATACTGAAAGAACCAAGTGATAAGTCAGGTCTGTCCATTATGAAGTCTTAGACTGATTTTGCTTATTCATCCTTCATTAAAGGACCACTCTAGGCACCCAGACCACTTCAGCTTAATGAAGTGGTCTGGGTGCCAGGTCCTTCTAGGGTTAACCCATTTTTTTATAAACATAGCAGTTTCAGAGAAACTGCTATGTTTATGAATGGGTTAAGCCTTCCCCCTAATCCTCTAGTGGCTGTCTCATTGACAGCCACTAGAGGCGCTTGCGTGCTTCTCACTGTGATTTTCACGGTGAGAGCACGCAAGCGTCCATAGGAAAGCATTGTAAATGCTTTCCTATGCGACGGGCTGAATGCGCGCGCAGCTCTTGCCGCGCGTGCGCATTCAGCCCAGGAGGAGGAACGGAGGAGGAGAGGAGGCAGAGAGCTCCCCGCCCAGCGCTGGAAAAAGGTAAGTTTTAACCCTTTTCCCCTTTCCAGAGCCGGGCGGGAGGGGGACCCTGAGGGTGGGGGCACCCTCAGGGCACTATAGTGCCAGGAAAACGAGTATGTTTTCCTGGCACTATAGTGGTCCTTTAAAGGATCACTATAGTGCCAGGAAAACAAACTTGTTTTCCTGACACTATATATCCTTAGATTCCCCCCTCCCTCAGGGCCCCCCTCCCGCTGGGCTGAATGGGTTAAAACTGCTATGTTTACATGTGAAGGGTTAAAACCTGGGGGACCTGGCACCCAGACCACTTCATTGACATAGACTCCCCACACAGTCCTTGGTCCTCTACTGTTCTCCATCTATTCTGTCTCCCTTGGGAAACTCATCTGCTCCTTTGGCTTCCATTATCATTTATATGCAGATGACACGCAAATTTACCTGTCCTCTCCTGATCTCTCTCTGCCCATCTTGACTCGTGCCTCTGACTGCCTCTCCAAGATTTCCAATTGGATGGCTTGCTCACTTCATTAAACTCAACCTGTCCAAAACAGAACTTCTGGTCTTTCCTCCCTCAAGTATTGCTACTCCTGTGCCTCTGTCTCCCTCAAGTCAACGGCGCTACCATCACCTCTACTTCTCGGCTCGCTGCCTAGGTGTTCTCTTTGATTCCGACCTCTCCTTTACCCCTCATGTCCAGTCGATCGCAAAATCCTGCCGTCTCCATCTCAAAAACATAGCTCGCATCCACCCCTATTTAACACCAGGCATGACTAAGGTGCTGGTCCATGCCGTTGTTCTTTCTCGTCTTGACTACTGCAATCTTCTCAGTGGTCTTACGTTTTCCCAGATTGCACCGCTGCAATCTATTATGAACGCGGCGGCAAGGTTCATTTTCCTGTCCGCCCGCACCTCCCACGCCTCCCCTCTCTGTCAGTCCCTACATTGGCTTCAGTTAGATATAGGGCTCAATTTAAGCTTCTGGTGCTTGCTGAAATGTCCCTACATAATGCTGCTCCAACCTACCTATCCTCCCTAATACACAAGTATGTCCCGTCGAGGCCCCTGCACTCTGCCGAAGACCTACATCTATCCTCTGTCCGTACTCCCACATCTGATGCTCGCCTCGAAGACTTCTCCAGGGCTGCATCCTTTCTGTGGAACTCCCTTCCGTTCTCTGTTAGACTTTCACCCAGTCTCCACTCCTTCAAAAAATCTTTGAAAACACACTTCTTCAGAAAAGCATATCATTTAAACTGTTAGCGGGTTTTCATCCCCCCCCACCCATGACTCCTCTCCTGCAACTGTCAAAAATAACCTAATAAGTTCTCAGTGATTACTTTTCTAGCAACCTATTTCATTACCCCTACTTATACCCTTTATGTCGGTATACCCCACTCCCTCTAGTATGTAAGCTTATTGAGCAGGGCCCTCAACCCCCTCTGTTTCTGTGCGTCCATTTGTCTGGTTACAATTACGTGTCTGTGAGTCCACCCATTGTACAGCGCTACGGAATTTTGCTGACGCTATATAAATAATAAAATAATAATAATTAACAATCACAATCTAAATCTTGATTTAATGGTTTGGGTATAGTAAGCTGAAGTTGGTCTGCTCACATGTTGCCTAATATTAATTACATTATAAGGGGTGAAATTTGTGCCATAGTAAGTAGTGCAGTTCTACACCGTCTGCTATACAGTTAATTTTCTGTACACAAAACATTCAATTGACTAGAGCTAATTTTTGCTGTTTTTTTATTTATTTTTTTCTGCAATTGCAGCAAAGTTACAGGAGAATGACCTTTACTAGCTAGCATATCTGAGTTTCGTGACAGCATATAAACTTTCCTGGCAGAGTAATTTTGCTCCACTGGAAACCATAGAATGGTAACTCCGTGAACATGCCATCTCTCCTTCCTCAATTAGAGATGCTTGAAACATCACTGTCACCCACCATATTAAAGGAACACTATAGTCACCTGAACAACTTTAGCTTAATGAAGCAGTTTTGGTGTATAGAACATGCCCCTGCAGCCTCACTGCTCAATCCTCTGCCATTTAGGAGTTAAATCCCTTTGTTTATGAACCCTAGTCACACCTCCCTGCATGTGACTTGCACAGCCTTCCATAAACACTTCCTGTAAAGAGAGCCCTATTTAGGCTTTCTTTATTGCAAGTTCTGTTTAATTAAGATTTTCTTATCCCCTGCTATGTTAATAGCTTGCTAGACCCTGCAAGAGCCTCCTGTATGTGATTAAAGTTCAATTTAGAGATTCAGATACAATTATTTAAGGTAAATTACATCTGTTTGAAAGTGAAACCAGTTTTTTTATTTTCATGCAGGCTCTGTCAATCATAGCCAGGGGAGGTGTGGCTAGGGCTGCATAAACAGAAACAAAATGATTTAACTCCTAAATGACAGTGAATTGAGCAGTGAAATTGCAGGGGAATGATCTATACACTAAAACTGCTAAAGTAATTTAGGTGACTATAGTGTTCCTTTAAATATGAATACTTAAAAAAATAGAATCTTTAAGAAATACTCATTAGGACTGTGTTTGAATTTCACTGAAATTCCAACCAAGTCAAGAGATATACGGACTACTTTTTCTCTGTATTTCGGCCTGGTCGCAGCTGTGACCCCTGTATGTATGCCTGTGTGTGTGTGTGTGTGTGTGTGTGTGTGTGTGTGTATACACACACACACACACTCACACTCACACTCTCTCTCCCCCTCCTCCCCCCCAGCGTCTGATATCCTCTCAGGGGTCCCGGTCACGCTGTTAAAGCGCCGCAGCGCTGACCGGGCTCCCTGGAAATCCATAGTCATCAGGTGGCCCTAACAGCATAGGCGGCCACTGGGGCTGCAACAAAAATGGCGATGGGCACCTGGTCGCAGGGCGGCCTGGCCTCCTGGAGTGACGGATCCGGTCTCAGCTGCGAACCCTGTATCTATGCCACTGCCTGTTACAAATTCTAGCCATTTCCTTTCTTGAGTCTGGCAAAACCATTATGATTGTTAAATCCTTTTGCATGTACACATGCTGTTTGTATTGCTCATAGGTGGAGACTGGACAGATATTTTTGGCAATTTCTTTTGAGACAGGCTCTTGTACAGCCTTTGTCTGCATGCATTTGGCCAATCCATCATGACAGGAGCTGCAGAAGATATGGCAAAGTGATGCTTAAATATAATAGGGATTTGAAATGTTCAAGATATACATCACTGACTTTTTAGAAAGAAATCTGAAAGTTAATATAAAATGCCTTTTACTCCTTCGGCATTATGGCTTCTGTACTTCCAGCGAGAAAGGCGAGAGATCTGAGATGTGAGCAGTCTGATCTCCAAAGCATTTAATCAAAGTTATTTAGTCATGTCATAAAAATAAATCTGAACTCCCCAGCCAGACGAAGTGTGAGACCAGTTACTCAGAAAGGATGCTGGTCTGATATCCTAAAAGTGAACAAGAAGCTCTGACACATAAGTCATCAAGAACAAATGCTTTGAAGGCTAGGTTGGCCAGATCGGCATATGTTTACAGGACACTAATGATATCTGGGTTCTATTAGACAATTCTGACGACAGTATGAGAAAGCAATCTTGGTGGTGTGTTCTCACTGTAGGCAAAAGAATTCCAGATACTTTGAAATCTACCCAACATATTCACGTGAGAATGGGGATCTTGCAGTCCCAAACGGGTCATCAGTGTCACCATTTTCCCTTTTACGAGCACATCTCTATCACGGCCTTGGCTGAATTGTACAGGGTGGGCCAAACTTCAGAGTATGGTTTGAGGAGTCAATTTTTTATTTTATTTTTTTTATTATTAACACACCAATTTCAATGATATTACACACAATGAATGCTTAACGTATGGAGATTTTAATTTACCGTTTTGCAAAGTCAGGCTTTTTCAATAGCATTGGTTCATGTTTGAGACTCTAGCGCTCAAATTCCGGCACAGAAATTCTCCTTGAGCTGCTCAAGTGTATGAGGTTTGTTTACACACATCTGCTCCTCAAGATATCCCTACACAGGAAGTAATCGGGAGCTGAAAGGTCTGTTGAACGTGGCGGACAATTAATCTGGGCATGTCTTTAAATGATCTGCTCGCCAAACACTTCTCAGTTTTTCAGGGGGAAAAAAGTCCACTAATTTTACTTGTTACTTCGTGTAAATACCTACGATGAATTTCACAAGATTGAAATAATAACAAATAAGTTATTTACTGGTTAAATCCTACTCTGAATTTTGGCCCATCATGTACAAGAAAATGTCCTCCAGAAGAAGCAGAAGCGATGATTAAATTCACATTTAGAGAGTTTGATCATCAAAGGAGGACAACACAACCTATATCAGTCTTCCTAGTGATGTTTCTTTCAAGCTGTATGGCAGCAGGGCTCAGTTCTACTTCAGTGGAAGGGAAATGATTTGGAGAATGATTCCAAATTCAGATGCTTTAGCGCCGAAATTCACACACTAGTGAATAACCAGTGTAAATGAACTGCGGCTTGTACTATATCATCGTCAATATATTTGAAGGTGTCTGGACAGCAGGAATGTGTAGAGGATTGTATTCTGTTGGAGTAACCTGAAAAATGTGTCTCTAAGAATCTTAGTCTCATTACTGTAGCTGGCTGTAGTGGTTAACACTTTAAAGGGACACTATAGTCACCAGAACATGTACAGCTTATTGAATTTGCTCTGATCAGTAGAATCATTACCTTCAGGCTTTTTGCTGTAAACTCTATCATTTCAGAGAAAATGCAGTAATGTTTACATTACAGCCTAGTGATAACTTCACTGGCCACTCCTTAGATGGCTGTTAGAGATCCTTCCTGGGTCATGGCTGCCTAAAATGCATCCAAACATTCAGTATATCCTCCCACTGCATGCAGACACTGAACTTTCCTCATAGAGATTCATTAATTCAATTCATCTCTATGGGGAGATGCTGATTGTCCAGAGCTGTGTTTGAATCATGCTGGCTCTGCCCCTGATCTGCCTCTTTGTCAGTCTCAGCCAATCCTATGGGGAAGCATTGTGATTGGATCAGGCTACCACCACTGATGTCAGCAGGCAGTGTGGTTAGGTCTAAAGGAAACAGTGACAAAGCAAGCAGCTCCAGACTTGAATTCAAGTAAGATTTCTATATTTATGGATGCATGAGGGGCTCAGGGTGGCTAGATGGTGGTTTTAACACTATAGGGTCAGGAATACATATTTGTGTTCCTGACCCTATAGTACTCCTTTAACAAAGATTTGCCCTCTTGCCTGGGTCCCTGTTGGGTTTGGAAGCCCTAGCTTTTGTGCAAAAAATAAATAAATAATTAAAGCACAGAATTGACATTAGCCAGCACGTAGCTCTTGTTTCGGGCTAATGATGCTGTCAGAGGTGGGGCTAATGGGTAAAACTCCTATGGGCAGTGTTTTAGTGTGAAATGCTGCACATACAGACTCCATGCACCATAACCACTTCAATATATACCTAGTTATATCCCTCCTAAGGACCAGCAATTTTGTAATTTTTCATGGTCCATGCTTTTACTTATGGGATTTTGTTTACCCAAATTAGAGAGGAGGAACCAACCCCAGAAAGCTTTACAGACACTTCCTACTCCTAACACAGAGTGCTGCAGTGGTTATGGTGCTTAGGGAGCCCATTTAAGGTTTATTTTAACCCAAGTAGTTCTTAGCTTGTCATTTTTCTATAAATACTTAGGTAAAAATTTTTTTTTACTATCCAGCACTTAGTAATTTCGATTCATAAGCCCTTTATATCCAACTCCCAAAAAATTATACAACAGTTTGTGATGTCATTAAACTGAACAGTAAAGATTTCATGCGAAACCTTTGGTCGTGGGGTAATCTATTAAAATAAATGGCTCAGCTTCAGGCTGTAAGGATAAGCATCATAAGACGTAACGGATGACTCCACACCAAAACAACTTCATTTCAGTGAAGTTATGGGGGTCGGAGCTCCGTTGCGTCTTTTTACCTTACAGTGGTAAACCCTTTTAAATAGTTTAACCACAATTTTACTATCCCGGTAGTCCATCCCGACTACTGATCAGGAAGGATCAGATTGTTAGAGAACGTATAGATCACTGTTTGCAATATCACATTGAGATGTCATCTTTCAGTTTAACCCTTAAATTTACTCTATCAGTAAATATTACCTTTTTATTTTTTTGTGCTACAGCCCTCATCCTATTCTAGTTTAGCAATACTAGCGATCTCTGTTTGCACTCTTATCTATGTGTTTCGCACAGTCTTGGTGCAGACTATCAGAGGCAGCTTTTTGAGTGGTTATGTTTCTCAATAATCTACAAGTGTTGCAGTTACTTCCTACTTTGTGTATTCAAATTTATATAAGTAGAGACGACTCAGGGCACAGTCTATTATTGTTGCAAGCTACGACTTCTGCTAATAATCTGCTTGACGTCGGACTGTGGTGGACTTTCTGTGAAATTCCAGTGTATTCTGTGTTTTTAGTTATTTGATAGCGATAAAACCATTATAAAAAAGTGATAGTTCCACTTTATTGCTACCCTAAAATGAAGGTATCTATTCTGCCAAATAGAATATAAGAAGATTTTAGTATGTGTGCATATGTTTAGAATTATGGTGTCATATCAGAACGTTTCAACATGGAACATTCTGCTTATGGAGTGATAGTACTCTGGAGATGAAAAAACATAGTGAAGCATTACATTTTGATATAGGATCTCTAAAATTCAAATTGTTTAACTTCTCCAATAGGACTGAAGATTGTCCTTTCCTTGTAAAACTGATAAAAACTGGATACCATTTTACCATTCCAAAGCTTGGTAGTGTGTAATGATGCCTCCTGGCGCTTTGATAGACAGTACATGCCTGAAGTCAAGCCTGTATGCTGGCTTCTCCCTTCACCAAATAAACTAGCTGGAACAGCAAACTTTGTGTAACTTTTTATTGTAAAAGTTAATAACAAAAATAGATTGATAAAATCTACATTCCTTCTCCACAAAATATTAAATTCAACTCTTGCTTCACATGGGAAATACATAAAGGGTTATTCAGAAACGGACAATAGACGTGATAACTGCCTAATATTTGCTGTTTAGTCCTTTCTCAACAGGTCCCAAGTCAATGAATACACAGGCTTCTTGCTCTGTGTCAAAGCAAACAAACTCAGAAATGTCCATTTGCTGTCCTACCTTCTTGTAATTTTATATATATATTGCCCAAAAGAACTGGGCAGAGGTTGCTCCTCAGATTCTTCCAGTATGTGGACTGGAAACGTGCCCGTTTCTGGGAGGAGGCAGACGTGCACCAACATAAACAAAACAGCAACTGTTCCAACACAATTCTGTATTGTCTTTTGGCAAATAATTCAGTACTGTATAACAATCCCTTAATTTACATTACTATAAATGGGGAAAGTCTCCTGTAGCGTAGAGTACAAAGGACGTGATGCATCCATTCTGGAACGGTGCCCCCAAAATTGAACTCATTAATGCATTCTTTCGGCTTTTAACTGATGTTAAACTGCCTCACGAATGTACGGCTTAACTGGAGTGATAAACTAGGCGCCTGTTCCCTCGTCTTCACTATAATCACTGTCACTGTCCCTTCCAGGATGCTCTGGCATTGCGTGATGTTCTTTTTGATCCACAGATTCAGTCTCCATTTTCTCTGTAGCATATTCTCCATCCTTGCTGCTGGGTTCAGCGATGGCTTCTGTTTCCTTCTCACAGACCTTTAAAACAGCAGCTTGTTTTTCACTTTCTTCTGTTTCTACCGAATGCTTTCCTGCTGCATCCTCTTGCTCCATATTTTCTGTAACATCTGCTGCCCTTGTGTCACTCGACTTTGGTGAGGAATGTTCCTGTGAAATGGATGCTGGAGGATTATCTGTATTGGGCTTTTGTGAGATGTGTTCAGTGTCCACTTCCATTTCCTCATTTTGAGGAGGAGGATCCTTTTGCTTGGATACAACAGGCGGTGGCAGCAGACCCTGTTACAGAGGAGACACACAATTAACAATCAATATTATGCAGAATCATCCTTGTACTCGTAGCATTAAAGGGACACTGTAGCCACTACAATATAATAATTTATCTCATTGAATTGGTTATAGAGCTTGGAGTCCCTCCATTCAGTGTGAAACCGCTTTAGGGCAGTTTAGCAAGTGTCCCTGGCCACCGACAGTCCGGCACCTTCTGGAGGTGTGGCTAATGCAAAGATTATACACTTCCTTGTAGTCATACCCTTTATACTGTCAGTTGGAGCTCTGATAGGCTAAAAGTAGTCAGCTGACACTCTCAGATGCACATTGCTGCGCAGGTTAATACTTCCTCTTAGCCAAAGCAGCACAGAGGGGGATGAGCTAATAGTGACTCTCATATAGCATTAAAAAATAAAATATTAAAAAATGCTTAATTCTGAATGAAATGATGGTACCAGAGCACTATAACCAATTTAATGAGACACAATGCCTACAGTGTCCCTTTAATGAATTAGTTATTAAAAACTTTAATAGCGATGATACATTATTATAAGATATGGATATTTCAACTATAGCATGCCGCCAGTAATAAGCAATGCATGCAGTCTGTACTTGATAGAAAAGAAAAGGGTAGGGTTCTTGGCTTTCATAAAAGGCATCTTACAAGCATCCTGACAACTTACATTCCTAGGTTAGAGTGCAGCAAATTTGCAAAAACAATCACTGTAGCTGTAAGTCTACCAACTTATTCAAGTATCCACTGCCAATACAAGTACTTGTACTGTACTGAGAGACCGTTAAAAAAAATATACGCCATTATTTGCTGGGCTTCTTTGCAAAATGGTATTAAAAAACGTTTAAACATATTTGTAATGCATTACAAATGGGCTGGCACCACATTCCAAAAAAATTAAGTAATATGTACACTAGCATTTCCACTTTCTGGTTTTGATTTAGTTACAGCACTGAATGAGCAGAAAGGGTAAAAGACAGTCAGAAGTGTCTAGTTAAAGAGTAAATCTGGATATCCCTGGAAAGACACAAACATTTTCCATCCTCAGCTGCACACAATCATTAGGATTAGTGCACCCGCAGCACATTCAGACTGCTGTGTAACCCATTCCAAGACTCTGCGGAAAGATTTACTGCTGAATGGCTGGTAAACTGCCAAGAACAGGAGGGGAACTCCTGCTGCCGTCTGTCTGTCTTGTTCACACAAACAACATTTTTACTGCATAGGATAGAAGGGCTGGAGCAGCCGGAATTATCTAATCGGGTTTCTTGTAGGACAAAATGGCTAATCCATAAGAAACTATGTTATCACATAAGGCTGCACCAAGCAGGCTCTAGAGAACTTTATTCTCCGAGTCAGGAATGAACAATCAAAGGGCACTTGAGGCTGATGTGATTTCCATTTAACGATGCACTAAATCAGTGGTTCTCAACCCAGTCCTCAAGTCCAGGATTTAGGGATTACCCAGTTGTTGTTTTTTTTCTTCTTCTTCTAAAAACACCTTAGACACAACACTTTAAACACAACAGGGTAATCCTTAAATCCTGTAATGGTAGGGGGTACTTGAGGTCTGTGCTGGGCACCACTCCCCAACCTCAACATCTGCCCAGAACCTCTCGGAGCTAGGTTATCACTGAGCCAATGAGCTAGCCCTACAGAGCTAAGTTCAGGAAAGCTAACAGAAGCTCCTGTTTAGGAGTTTCCAATTCTCCATAGTCCGTAGTGATGATAAGGAGCAGTGGTAAGAGGTCAAAGTTATAAAATGGTGTGACTAGCTACAAAGGGGAGAGCACAATAACAACTACAGCACACTTTAGTAGTTATGATGAGTGGAGTGTTCCTTTAAAAGAGATTTGTCTGCAAAGTTTCTACTTCAAAGCTTCCTTGGCAGCAATAAGACAGAGGCAAGACCCCAACAGATAATTATCAATTGCACTGAGCATAACAACGCAATGCTCATCTGCAGTATTTATTTTCAAGCTAGGTAAGCTATGTAAGGTTAAGTTTTTTTTAATATATACGTTATTCAGGTACCTTCATTGAACCTACATTGGATATTGTGGAAATTGGGATTCTGTGTTACCAAGAATCCATCTTGGCAATAATAGCCTGAGAGTGCTGGGTGTATGTTAATACCATTGCCCTCAGCCGACGAATGCAATATATGGGTGCACGGATTCACACTTGATACAGAACAATCAATTCAGCCCAGGGTGTGTGTTTAATACTTCACCCACATGCATAGTACCATGACCACTACTGTGGGTTGTTATGGTGTTAGCGTAAGCTAGTAATCTACTAACATATGGTTAAATGGGGAAATTATCACTTAATTGTAAGAGTGTTAAAATATAATAAGAATCTCAACAATACAGCAGCTAATGTCTAACTTTAGATTCAACTCAAAAGATGTGTTGCTCCCCGTTCCTTCTTTAAAAAGGAGATCAGCAGTTTGGCTCCCAATACTTGAAACCATTGTACTAGAATCACAGAACACAGCATTAGAGAAGAAGAGAGCTCTGCGTTCACTCATGTTAGCAATGCGATGTTTCAGGGCGAGAGTTCAGAGCAGGCCAGTTAATAAAGATACACAGTTTAGCTATAAATTAAACAAAGACTCAGCGGCGGCCTTTGTAAAGCGTGGCTTGAGATATCCCAGCAGAGGGAGTACACTCATTAAGGGAATTAAAGATGATTATGACAGACATAAGATTATGATGATGTATAACAGGAGCTTGCTGAAAGACAGCACACACTGCAAAGGGGTTTGTCTACTAAACTGGGAACTGCACGTTAGGCCAACAGATATAAACAGCAAACTTTTTTAAAGGAACACTCCAAGCACCATAACCACTCCATCACACTAGTGCTCCATTTTCTCCCCATGTAAATAGTCAAACTTTTTTTTATTTAATTTTTGAAGGGGATGTAGGGCCTAAATGCTGAAAATACTACTGGAAATTAAATTAGTGAAAATAATCCAACCCAGGACACATGACTGCAATCTAGACATTTTCCTTATAGCTTGTCATTCTAAAAACGGAAGACTAGAAAGCTGGCCTCAGGGCAACATGTCATATTAGAGGACCGTCGACAACACAGAAGGCCCGAATAGGAATTTAACAAACCATTTTCTCATCAGCTAAAGACGTGGACAGCAATTTGTATAATACAGTGACTTGTGTGTATATATAATTGGATGGTCTTACCTGACGATAATGCAACTGCTGACTGCTCTGCATCATGTGCATGTACATATTGTACACAAAGCTTGCCATCTCTGGCATGTTCTTAATCACTTGGGCTGGGTAGGGCAGCAAGTCTCCATTCTGCAAAATAAAATAAAGTAAATAAAGAGAAACAGTCCATACACGGGTAAAGATGACTCAGTAGGAACCTCTTAAAAAAAACAAAACAAAAAATGTTGATGCTTTATTGGGTGCTCCAAGTCAATGGCAACATTTTGGCTTCAGTCTAGGGCGTTTGATAAAGGCTTAATGTGAGACTGAAACGTTACCCTTTCATTTAGTCATTCTACTGGAGACGTTTATTGACTGTTTTCTATGTCATTTTTAATTTGACTTCAGATGGAATTGAAAATTTGAATAGCTATTTGTTAGTGTGCCGTGGCCTTAGTGATGGAAATGTAACATGTTCTGTGAATAGGAGGGGATTCTGCTCGAAGTTCACGTGCACGGGGCATGTCGAGAAGATGGCAGTGCCAACTAAAGGAAATGCAGTGAAAGGATGGCTGTTTTTTATTAGTCAGCTGCATCTCTCACGTGGAAATGCTTCCAAAACAATAATCAGGGCGAGTAAAAGAAAACCGTTAGAATGAAAAAAGCTGAAGACTCCACCAGTTCACTGTAGATTTATTCTACCTTGAAGTGCATGCGGAGTCCGCAGATTGTTGTCACTGGGGGTGTTAGAACAAGTTCAGTTGGTAGGTCAGTAAAATCACTGTGACCATATAGAGAGAAACGTGAACCACCCAATGGGGTTAATGTCTCACCTGGTATGCCATCAGAAACTCCTTCATTTTCAGTGCTCGGATAGTGAATGTTCTTTTAGTATATTGCTATCTAGTATGTTCCTATTTTAGCCGGATGCATAATGGTTATATGCAGCTTCACGGTTTATTTCGGTGACAGACCATGAGATATTGCATTGCAAACAGATCCACCCAGTTCAGGAAAAGCAATTCTCAAAGCGGGAGATCTTCCCAGTGACCTATGGCTTACTACTTTTCTAATTTCTCAGTTAGTAAAAGCTGCTGAACGCAGAGAGTGGCCAAGAGAGCTAGGTGCTATTTCAGCATCTTCCTGTGAGTACCCACCACTCCATACCATGCAGTTCATTAATTACCATTGATACAGTAGATGCTAATGGTACTTACCTTTCTCTGCGTGGGGTAGGTCTCTGCTGGGAGAATGTGCAGTTGCAGAGGGCGAGCGGTGAGCTGGCTGAAAGCTGGTGTCAGCTCAAAACAATTCTGGAAAAGGGAGACTCGTGCAAAGATATAGAGACCAAGGCGAGCTCTGGACATTGCAACCACTAACCGTCTGACATCCCTGTAAGGAAGAAAAATGAACAGACATTGTGCGACAAGCTTAGAACACATGGGGTTATTTACTAAACTAAAAATTGTAAAGTTCAGAATTGTTTTAGGTATGTATGGTTTGTAATATTATGCACGTGTTTTTGAGTGTACGGAAACTGCCTGTTGTTGGATGGATGGATATATATATATGGTTTTGTGTGGTGTTGTGTATATGTTATTTGTGGGGAACGCTTCACAGAAATAATGTTTTGCACCCCACCCACCCTCTTGCCTTCCTTTGGCCAGGGGCAAAATATTTTATTGATCCCAGCTGCTCCAGTGGCGGAAGGTGCAGACTGCACCTACCATGGGTGCAGATCCATTGTGGCACTCACTCCATTAAAGTGCTTTGCCAGCGAGTCGAGCATTGCCATGGTAAACCCCCCCGCCCCAAAACGCTGGATGACAACAGAGTCCCCTTTGATGACTGGAGGTGAAGACTGCAGGCTTTCTTGTGCTCTGGTTGCTGGGGAGATCATCTGATCTCCCTGTCTGGAATATTTGGGTTGGCAGTCTCATGTGCCCGATGGTGCGGACCCATTTTATCCTGCTGCAGTCCATATTCCTATTAATTTATTATAAATAGGAACAGGTGGAGACATTTATTTTTGGACACCCACACATCTATATTCCAGTTTACTTTAATAGGTGCATGAGCATTAACAGAGAGTAAATGTGCAGGACTGTTTGCAAATGACAATACTGTCTGCTTGGCAACAAGCACACACTTCACATTCTGAGGATAAGGCAGTTTCTGTTTTCTTTTAAACCAATGTGGAAGTTATGTATACAGAACAACGTTGATGCAAAATGTGAGGTGGTTTAATGTAAAGTTCCCACCAATTGTAGCTAAACTCGAAATTGCTTCTAGCTCAATACTTTTTTTCTTGCATCAACAGTGGTAATAATGACATGCGAAAGGTTGAACTTGGTGGGCTCAAATCTGTAATGTTTTCCTGTATGTAACTGCGTGTGAGCTTTGCTTTTCAATTAAACCTTTAGAAAAATTTGTCTAAACTCTGGCAAAGCCATTAACAGCTGGAGATGACTGGTTTTGAATGGACCTGGTATGTCTTTTTGCAATCATGCAGCAACTGGTCTATTCGAAATGTAAGGAATGAGTTCAAAGGTGCCAAACGCCCAACAAATCTAAATAGAATGCCTTGATTATCACTGTACACCAAACTTCATCAAGACAGGTCGAGGTGGCTTGTTGTTAGGGTACGATAAAGGGATTCGTTTTACTAAACAAACGAATCCCAGGACAGTCTTTAGCATATTTGGAGCTGATAGTGTATGGGCTGAACTTTTGGTTCCTAAAAAGCAAACACACTGTGTTGTTGTCTGATAGGCTTGTATGCAGATACATGTGGTTTTACTGTCTGACAGCTGATCGGGCAGAGGTTGGCAAAGTGATCTGTTGGCTGTCACAGTGAGTGTTTTGTAGAATACGGACTCGGGTCACTTACCTGATGTGTCCCACCATCTTGGTCCTGACAAGTGACAGGATGATGTAGTCATTCTGCTGTCCTTGGAATCGGTCCACTGTTGTAACCTACAGAAGTAGCGTAATAAGGTGTCAACATATATATCTCTCTCCGTTAATCACTTAAAATCCATTATTGAAATGATCTGTGTAACACACATTGCTGATTTATTACCTTACTGGGCTGTCCAATCACTGGGTTATTGCCACAGCGCTGATTGATGATGTCACGAATTAAGTGTTTTTGTCCGTTGTATGTGGTCAGAATACTGATGCGATTAGCTGGGTATCCAATCAGGCGCATGTACATAAACAAAGCGACTGCGTACTCTGCCTCTGCCAGATTCTGTAAGGAGATTGTGAGCATCAATATGGTTCATGCACACAATAAAAAAATCCTTCACAAACCATGTATCAGGAAATAGCCATAATAACTTCCAGACTGCTATGTATTCTCACTTGACAAAGTGAATTTAAGGCCAAAATAAAATGGAGACATTTTCCAAATCGGCTACTTTGGCTGCAAAGCAATACCAAAAGCACTATAACCACTACAGTGTTACATAGTAGTTATGGTACCAAGAGTGCCCTGGTGCATTCCCTCCACCTTTGCTACTTCCTATAGAGAGCCAGATGTGTGTGAGCTCCGCCACGGGGTGCAGGGCTTAGCTCATTGGCTGAGAGTGATCAGCTGACAAGCTCTTTGCTCACTATAGGACGGAGTGGAGGGTTTGACTCCTTACAATGGGGGTGTGGGGGTCTTTTGAAATATCAACAATTCTTACTTTAGCAAATAGCTGGAAATATCAGTTAATTTTCACAGTTAAGTCTAATAAATTATTTGACCAGAAATCACAGTACCTGGTAGAAATATGGGTTGGGTTCAGATTCCCCTACTCCATTGAAATCTTCCACGTTTATAAGCTGGAAGTCGAACTGAAGTCCAGCATTGGCTGATCGGAACTCTGGGAGCAACTGCACATGAGGGAGGTTTCCCAGGCTCTTGTACCGCCAATTGTACAGATTGCATAGGCTGCCGGGGAAAAAGAAAAATATTAACTCCTATTGCATTTCAACAATATCCGAAAAGATCATTCAAACCAAGAATGAAAAATACAAGTTCTGTTTACAGGATACACCAGAGCAATGCCCCCTTCCACTGGACGCCAAATCAGGGGTCGAAGAAAGAGGAAAAAAAAGCAGTTTATCCAAACGTGGGACAGAGAATACGGTTAGCTTATGGTTTTAGGAGATTGATGCTGCATTGAAAAATAAATGGGCAGTTCCGTGGTCCAAAGTAAAAGTGTGGCAGTCACTATGGAAACCAGCTGGGACATTACATTGGTGACTCCACCCCTTTTCAGAACAGACTTTTTTTATGCATAACATCCTATATATTCTCATATTAGTCACATTTGATGGGTTTTTTTTACCTGGCTCGAGCTCTTCCTTGGGCATCGAGATCCACCGTTGGCACCCCTAGCCGAACAAATCTTGTGAACAGCGACTGTTCCATGTTGGAGTATTTTTGGAAAGCCATGTTCTTGATGACAGGAGGCAGCTGGTGATGGTCCCCAATCATGATCCAGCGCTTTAACCTACTGAAGCCATCCTCCGGATTCTGGGAATAAAAACAGGCTCTAGTGAGTCGGCAAACTTATTCTAGGTATTAAAGTAATGGGAATTTGTTGTAAATGATTTATGTAAAGACAGAAGGGGAAAACTTTTTTTTTACCTCCAAAGAAATCGTAAAAAAAAAAAAATTTAATAGCTATGGAAAAGAATATTTAAAGGAAGCCTATCATATATCAGTTATTACTATCATTCATAGCACACTATAGTCACTGGATTACAAGCAGATATAAACTAGTTTATATTATATACACTCTAACATACATAATATAAATACCACAAAGAAAACCTAGCCAGATCCTCTGCATGTATGAAGTGCATCTAATTTAGAGAATCACAGTCTCTATTTTCCAAACTAGAAGAAAAATAAAAAATAAAGCTGTCCAGTAGCATTGCAATAATAACGTTATTACAATAACGTTACATACAATAAATTGAATGGTTTCTATAAAATATATACAGCTTTGAGCATTAATCTCACGCGGGTCCTTAGAGTGAATTAAAATGTATATCCTTGAATGAACATCTCATCCCATCTGTGTTGGGGTATTCACAAAAATGTTGGGCTATATTCATTAAACAGTTACCCGTGGTGAATTGTGTACAAAATGGAGAATTGTGTTTTACCCATTTCTACTTTAATGGTCTAAATTCTGAAGGGTCTCATTTCACCACAGTTAGCTGATTAGTTAATGACCCTTTTAAACAGTTTGTGATTTGTAACTCGGAACTTGAAAGCAGTCAGTCATTCTGAATGTCTGAGTCAGCAGCCAAAACTGGATCTCTGACTAGGCCCCAGACAATTGCACCCATTAAATTATTTATAGCAGCTGCTCTCGAGAACATTTCACACCTAATCAAGATGTTCTGCAGAATTTGTTTTAACATATTCCAAATTACGGCTGAAGAATAGGTTGGCTCACCTGGCTAACAAAATTCAAACAAAGTTAGTCCATGTCTATTGGTAAATAATAACTGCAAGGACAGATCAATAACTGAACATTCAGTGTAATACATGTATAATACATACTATGCAATATGAACACTAGAATGTCTCTTTTGGGAATAAGCTTATTCTTTTTAAGTTATCTTTAATGAGAAACCATTTGAATGGGGTAAGCTTTTTACAGCATAATTCCGTTCTGTAAAGTTTGGAGTTCGAGGTCACAGCTCTATATTGTACCTGCAATAGTAGGGGGATGAAAGTCTCAATTTCCAGTATCTGAGCAGCCTCTTCCATCAGGATGTTATCATACTGCAGGGAAAAAAACAGGAACCAACAGTCAGTAAGAAAGAGGAGCAAGAATCACCTGCAGCCATGTATCCAGCCAGAACCATATCCAGCAGCAGCATATATGGGTCATTTAATAACAGGTCTACATGTAATATATCAAACGCCAATTATGCCAGAATGTAGATATGGCCCTTTTAATAGACATTGGGGGATGAAAAACAAACTGCAAAGGAATTCACTCCAAGATAAATACACTATCTGCTGAACTACACAAATATTTAGCAATTCAATGAAACAGTGGGATTTCTAGCGCTTGTCTGATATAATATGACCGCTTATACTTCCCACACCAGTCTCTTTTCTAGCCGTAAATAAATACCGTATGGAAAGGGATGCAGGGAAGCAGCGCCTTCTGAGTATCCTAAAATCCATGTAGTCCTTATCTTAAATATTGTATCAACATTACACGGATTGGAGGACACTCTAAAGGCACAGCTTCCCTGCATCCCTTTCCATACATATTTAGCAATGTGTTTGTTTTTTATATAGGTACAAAATAAAAAGACAAATATAGGAGGAATCACAAAGAGCCACAGAGAGGACTTAAAAGTATCTGTCACTTACATTGGGTTCACTATACATTGAGCCGGAAACATAACCAGCATATGTATATAGTAAAAGCTATACTAAAAGGGACACTCCAAAACACCCTATCTGATGTGGCCCTGAACACCCAGGCTTAGCTAGGTGGCAGGAGAGTCTGGCAGTATGCGTAGTGGTGGAAAGTACCTGGCATGACCAACAGAATTTGTCAAACCATTCCTAAACAATCTGGGAGCGTGCCAAGGCACTCCTGGCACCATAACCACTACAGGTACATTGGTTATGGTGCTCGGAGTTTTCGTTTAACTCAAGTTTACCATTTTACCAACTTGGCTTTTAAAAATGGATGTGGTGGCTGTTCCTGCAGCCATGTGATCTCCCAATTCCTAGAAAGTAAATGCATGTAAGGATGTGGCTACTGCCCTCTGTGTTTGTAATATTTAATGGTATGCAAAATGCAATGCGAGAAAGCATAACGGGTTTAAATATACAGTGTTAAACTTTTCATCGGGTACATCTGCTACCAGCATGGCCAGCTCAATATTAACATTCAGCTTTATTCTGTATAGAGTGAATACAAGAATACATTCCCACAAGGGGCAGTTCTGCTTTGGAATGTATCTCTTAATAGTGTGGTTTACTTTTAGCGTGTCAATTGTTGTTTCCTACAGACTTTCATTGTGGCCGTCGTCACTTTGCTGCTCTAGTGCATACCTTGAATCCTAGCTCCACAAGATCGTGGCGTTTTAAAGCTGCATGTGTACACGTCATGGCTATTATCTTTGCCTCTTTCACCAGGAGGTATTTTGAACGATCCAACCCACTGCGCAGTAACTCAAAAGCTCGGAATTCCTGAACAAAGCAAAACAAAAGGTAAGTTATTTGAAGACTTCCTACATCACATATCCATTACACCCGCACAAAACTAGCATTCGACTCATATAACGGGTTGGCTCTGAAAAATTGCAACAGAACATTCTAAAGTATGCAAACAAAGACATAATTCATTGTGTGTCACAAAGTTGGAAAAGTGAAGAAAACTATGAGTGGCACACAATGAAATGTTATATTCATCTTGCCGAACTGTACAGCCTCATTCATTTATTCTTCCTCTTTACGGCAAAATGAGGAAGGTAAGAGTTTGAACACTAGACAATGTTTATAGATGATTTGATAATACAGAGTAAACATATCTCTCACAAATACCTTTTCTCTTCCTGTTTACTACGAATGTTAGATCTCTAAAGACACAGGTTTGGATTTAAAGTGCCAATAATGTTTCTGAGCAATCCAGCTTGCATACAAGCATATAGGTTTTTGAGTCTGCTGAAAAAGCACCATCTAGGGGTACTAAAATAATGTCCCACCAATGCTAACCAGTCCATTCATTTTCATCTGTTTGGTCACAGTCCTTGAAAATCCATAATGGAGAGTTGGATCCAATCTAGGGAGCCTTGCATATAAGGGCCTGTTTATTAAGGAGGATCTACAAAGTCCCTGTGTGCAATACAGAGCTAGCTAGCATGCCAAAACAGGAAGCCTCTACTCAAGGGCTTGTATTCAATTATTAGTACCACGGCTGGGGAGCCTGGAGTATATCATAATGAAACCAATAACTCACCACTGCAGGGCAGCTGGAAAACATGCAAGCTTTGCAGGGCCAACACCATGCTTTACAGTAAACCCTTAAAATGGTGTCCTATACCTGGTCCATTCATGCAGGAGAGCTCCGCAATGATAAATGAGCATGGGCCACCGCAAGGACATAGCTTGAACAATTTAAAGCGCTCTGTTGCTCCTTGCTGCACTGACCAAGTACTTCATAGAAAATAATCTCTGATGGAGGCAGACCCACAAGTGGAGTATTACCTGCAGGAGAAGAGTCTACAGGGCTTTTTGGGATTGTACCTCTCCAGTTGGAGGATGCAATATTACACAATCAATGGATTATTTCCCCCTGAAATGTTATAGATGTGGATGTGTCAATAAAGGGGCTTATTTCTAAGATAAAATAACTTGCACAGCGGTTATATTGTAAACAAGCTTCCAGCTGTTAGTAGCCGGGGGAGGGTGGTGACAATGCATTCCTGGCTCAATGACCACTGCATCAAGCTATAGTAGTTATGGTGCATGTAGTGTTCCTTTAAAAGGTACCCCAGCAAAGGACTGGCATTGATTTACTTACATTGATGCACAGGTTAGATAAAGCTGCAGCTGTTTTTTTTGTGTGTGTCATTGTCTATATATTTAGCATCTATTTTACAAAGGCAATTCAATCAGTTGTGCGCTACATGAAGCTTCTAAAGAATGCATGTTAACAGTTTAGTATAACGTTTAGGAATGAAAGTTGATTGCAATATTGACTTTAGCCAAGTATCAAAATGTCCTCTTCTTAATTGCAGGATCGTTTTACATACATGCTTGGCATCCAGGAAGGACTATTTATACTGTGAAATCTATCTGGACTCACCTCTAGCTGGGTGAAGATCTTTTTGATGTGTCGGAAGCACCCTTCCGCCAGCTCCATATCCTCCTTATAGGAACCACCCTTGAAGATGGGTTGTGGGGCATTCAGGAAGTATTGGTGGAAAGGGAAGAATTTAGCAATGTCACTCACATCCGGAGTATGTGTTGGTTTAGCTTTCACCTTGCTAAGGTAGGCCTCCCAACGTGACATAATCTGCGAAAATAAACACAAAAGAAATGTGTTATATTGGTACAACGGTCCTCCATGTCTAACCGCAATGCGCAAAAAAAGTCTATTATGTTATTTTTACAATGTAAAGATCCTAACATATGCAGACACCAAGATGGTCAGAAAGACTTTCCTGCGTGCAAGCATTTTCATCAAAACAGTTTGTTCCCCACAATGATTTCAAAGTATAATCAGAACTTTTTTCCTCTGTTTACAGCTGTGTTGTCGGCAGTATTAACAATCTAGCACAATCTGTCATGAATGGTTTGTTTTATTTTGGTACCAGCCTTGCCTGTGGGGGCCAAAAAAAATTTTTTTCAGAATCTGCCACTAAGAAAAATAAAATCCAGTGATCAACACACAGTGCAGGGTTATTCAATAAAGTGAGAATTCAAGGTACAAATAGACAGACTAGAAAAAGTCAGCTATGAAGCCAACTTGACTACTTTGCCATTAAATTTGAAATCCACCTTGAATTCTCACTGTAGGGAGGACTTTATTCCAAATTGAAAACTCACTTGAAAAAGTTCTCCGACTTTGCTGTAGTCACAGATTGGCAATTTTACTAAAATGCTGCCATTTGGGTTTCAATTCATCTAATATGTTGTAGTGTTTCCACTACTCCCAACCCTTCATCTGTGCTGCTCCAAAAAAAATAAATACATTCTGCTCTCTTAGTGCAGCATACAAATGTATTATGTTTATTTAAAAAAAACCTGTTCTACCAAGACAAATCGTTATCTGGATGTTCTAGCAGGTTACAGCCAGACACTGCTTACCAACGTTACTATAATCCCAAACAACCAGTACCTGCAAGTCACAATAATGGTTATGGCATACCTCATTATAGTAAGTGCCAATTACATTATATATAGAAAAATGTTTAGTAAATTGCAAAGACAAATCTTACAACACACAGTGTCAATCAATTCCAAATAGACCGATATTACAGATATTAATATGTCTCAAAGCCAAAGCTATAAATGCCACTTGCACAGACTTAGACACACAGGGTTAAGGACTGAATGACAGGGAACAGCAGGAGAACCCTATAGTTGATTTTCCTGCTCTGCATTACTACTCGCTAAGGGAATGCAGGATTCCAGTGAATGATGTCACTTTGTTCGGATGCCAATATGCTGGCAATGAAGCCACCATGTGAGCAACGCTAAGGAATACAGGTACTGGTTATTTGGGCAGGTATCTCCAAGCAGTCAATTGCATTACTAACAAACAAGGCGGGACTGGAGGGCGAGTATAACAGCCACAAATCACCAGCGGTTGAACATAAGTAAAAGCATAACAGCTTCAAAAGAAAATAAATATATATTGTAATGTTTTAGGATAAACTATATATATATATATTGCCTTGGGAATTGGTGGAACATAATGTGAACCTGGCACGACCGAGTCACTAATTATCATTTTCAATTGGAGAACAATTTATTTGTATTAGCATATTACAACTTGACTTTCTTTGCAGTATTTTAGAGCAATTCTTGCCCTACAGTCTGTAAATAAAAACAAACCAAGTATTATCTAATGGCCACGGTTTCTGTGTATTATATAAATAAAATTATATTGCATCTCTTCAATTTTGAATCACAACGATCACCAATTTGTACATATACAACTGTGTTTTCTTTTTAGATAGTTATGTTTAATAAACATTTGAAATTGCAGGTGTCTATAGACATAAATAACGGAGCTACCCTCTGAGCGTATGTACATACTGCCGAGGATTTATTTCTAAATAACCCCCCAAAATATTTTGGCCTATTTATAAAGTGCTAGACTGTGTGATTTCTGCAAATTTGTATTACAAGCTCATCTATTGCCTTATGTTACAGCTTAGTCTGCTGTTAGTTTCTAATCCCCTCTTCTATAATAGGCTGAAGAAACCGAAAGCAGGGGACAGTTAAGTATCAGTGTACCAAGCGATATATTAAATGGAACTGGATTAAAGGGTTAGTCTAAACACCATAAACAACTTTGCATCAGATCACGGCGTAGACAGTGTCCTGTACTTTCTTGCAGAGATTCTTCGCACAACTCTGTTTACAAAACTGTTAACCGGGCTTTGTAGAATCTGATAGCGTGGGCATTAATACATCTCACACTATGTTTGGTGCTTACTAGTAATATTCTATAATACCGCAGCATATGCAGTCATTGGATGGGTTATCTGCATTATCCCTCTGTACCTGTCTTTAATGGTCCTTCTCATCCTACTCAAAGATTCACACATATAGTTTCACCCCTGGGATCACTTCACTTTTGAACCTGATTTTCAAGCTCACACAAACTCCCACGGACCACCTGATCCATTACCACTTATTTGAACTTGCTTTCGCATTGATTAAGTATACAACTCACTACCGAACAGGTGACCCTTTCAATAATCCAATGACAATAACCATTCCATCTACCAGTTCAATGAAAACAAAGACCTGGTCTTGTGCAATTCTCAGTGTTAAAAAAAAAAAAAAAAAATCAGACCTGGCACCAGTCATTTTGCCTGTTTGCAAAGGACACTTATTTTTCTATTATCACTCCTAGTCTTTACTTTCATAAAAATGCTGTTCTCTGCACATACCAGGCGTCTATGAATTACAGTGAGTCCAATACGCAGACATTAGTTTTATTTAAGACTTTCTATCTAGATGCCTTAGGTTAGTGATGCGGTGTATGGAGAAATTTGGCTAGCTCAATACTGCTTTGATCCACTAAACATATTGAATAATCTAGACCTGTTGCTTTTTTTGAATAACTGGACATCGTTTTATGGTTAATAGTTTATTTTTCCCAAGTCCTATGTCCTGGTTTAAAAATAATACAGGATTAATGTAGGCCCCAATCACTTATCAAACCCGCCGGGTTGTATCCTCTCATTTCCACTTTAATGTAACTTGATACACAAATAACTGTCTTAATATACTGCTATGTAGTAACAGTCTAATACAAAGATTAAACTCACAGTCAAAGCAGCAGCTCCCCATCTGCATGATCAAATCGCTCTCATTGTATTGGGGAACACAGAGCATGGGGGAGAGAGTACACATCTTGCTGGTGGTCTCAAATTAGATGTGAGATAAGGGGGAGTGAGCATTTTGTTACTGTGACCATAACCAATTAATGGGATTTTAGGTATTTCATAAAATAAAGGCTTACAAAACTGTCAAACACAACAAAAGTGACAGGTAATTGAAAGATCTATATTACTGGACCCTTGGCAATATGTCATTAATATATTAAATCCCAAAACTTGTGTGCACATGGGGAGCAGATGTCTGGTTTTTGTTTTCTACACCAATGAACGAGGGTTACACACCTGATATAAGAAGAAGTGGCCAGCAGTCTCACAGGTATAGGACACATCTCCTGGGACTCCTAAACTCTCTTGTAAGCGTCCCACCTCCTTGAGCAGCTCCAGCCTCCTCGCCAACACATAATTCACTCTCCCATATCTGGAAACATTACATTTACATTAACAAAGCACATTAACAGCATTTATACCAACATACGAGTAATGTACATATGATCCTCAGTCACACGCACATAAAGCAGAAGTAAGATTTGTGATCAGAGACCACTTAATCCTGAAATAGCATTGGATTGATTATATGTCCTAGAACCCGAGTAGTATACTTCTTTATAATGCTTTCAGGACGTCCTCTGTCACGGACTCAAAGAAACCGTAAGGGCTAAAACCTAAGTAGCTTGCACAGCAACCTTTGACCTTGGCAATCTGCCTAACATTGAGTGATTATATGCAAGAGTTCCATCTATCTAGGTGTTTAAAGGAACACTCTAAATATCAGCACCACTACAGTGGTTATGGTGTCAGGAATGCCCTGCCCCCACTTATTGTATTAAAACAGTTTGAATTCTTACCTGTGCTAAGCCAGATACTGCTTCTCTCCTGCACTACAGCTTTCAGAGAACTAGTAATTAGTGCTTAGGAGCTTCCATTAGCTCTCCCAAGTTAACCCCTGCAATGCAGAACTACTAAATTGGCTGAGAGCATCAGTTAATCCTGCACTGGCAGGATTAGCTCGGACAGACCGCTTTCGGCTCTCTGTAATCTGCAGTGGAGGTGGGGAGCTATGCCCAGCTACTAAAACGATGTTCCCCCTCACAGCACAGCACCTGCAAATAGCTATGTGATGGGTGTTGAAACGCATGATCACAAAATTCCCATAATTTACATGGCCAGCCCAGGAATAAGATTCCTAGGCAGTTATGATTTAAATGATGTGTTCAGACAACCTAAAGGCCGAAAATCAAGCTACATCAAATACCTCCATACTTTTTTTTCCTCGGAATAAAAACAAAACTAAGTGGGATGTTGATATTTCTAGGAATAAAGTGGATACTAAACAAAATATTCCTCATTAGGAGTTATTAACTCCTAATAGGGAACATGTCGGCTGGGCGGCAGCATTGTAACATGGCTGTGTGATACAAAAGTAAAATATACAAAAATTAGTTCTGAACTCAAACTCCCACTACTCCTGGGCGGCAGCAATGACCATAGTACACATCAGCCCTAATACATACAATAAAAACAAAGAGTTACCCGCGCACAATCTCAAATCCTTGTGCACATTTTAAAAAACTAGGTTTTTAGTATCACTCCAATGGTAATTTAGTGTAAGTATTTGGGCTGATGTGTACCATGGTCATTGCTGCCGCCCAGGAGTAGTGGGAGTTTGAGTGCCCGGACTTATTTTTGTATATTTTACTTTTGTATCACACAGCCATGTTACAATGCTGCCGCCCAGCCGACATGTTCCCTATTAGGAGTTAATAAGTATGTAGAGGTTTACAAAAACAAACCAAAAACCCTCAGTCTTATTTTTAGTTTCCTGAAGCTGAAGACAGCAGGTTTGCCTTGAAGTGGGAGGTGAACTTACATTTAAATGGCCATTGGGGTGATTCTATAAACCTCCAGTTATTTAACCCCTTAAGGACACATGACATGTGTGACATGTCATAATTCCCTTTTATTCCAGAAGTTTGGTCCTTAAGGGGTTAAACAGTGTAGGGATTGGAGATAGTGCGCAAGTAAGGATGGTAAACAATAGTTCGCAGCAGCCTATCCCTGCTGTGCTAATTGGTCTGATGAGGAAGTGTTAGCCTGAGCAGCAATGGGCAACTGTGAGTGTCAGATGACCACTGCCAGCCTATCACAGCATATGCATTGTGTATAATCTCTGCCTTAGCCATATGTCCACTGGGGGCCAGGCTGGGGGCAGCCAGGGACCCTCATTCATTGTTAAACTGCTTGAAAATGGTTTAACACTGAAAGGAGGGACAGAGCCAGGTGACCCCAGGCACTATAACCACTTCAATGAAATGACATGTCTATAGTGCATACAGTTTTTCTTTAAGGGGTTAGCATTCTTGATGTCGGCAGCTAACCTGCTGAAATCTTTCTCTGTTTCCAGTTCTTCTTCCCCATGGCCCAAACGCAGAAGGTGCCTCTCGTCGATGTCTAGCGCCATAATCTTCTCAAACAGCTGGTTCAGAGCCTGTAAATTGATGGTAACAATAGGATAAAGATGGTTACAACATGCATAGGAGCTAAAGTAGTCTGCCAATCACAGCTAGCATGTGAGACAAGAAGAGCTGGAACTGCAGGAAACTCCACCAAATGCATTCACCCAACTAACAAACAGATGGTGCAAAAAATCCAAAGCCCGGTGTTTGCAATAAGGGGAGTTGGTGGGTGAAAATGAAAAGAAGATTGGCAGAAAAAAAAAATTTATATATATATATAGGCTGAAGGAGATACATGGGCAGAAAGCAGGCAAGAGACTGAGATGTAAAACAAGGCATATTAATCAAACACATAATAAAATGCCTTCACTTTGTGATCGAAGATACGATTATTCTACTCAGTTGAATTATGCTAAACATTGGTTTCTGGGCAGTCAATGTTACTAATCACCATTTCCCTGTGTTTAATTGTAAATTCTACAATTAAAAACAACATTCTAATTCGGGATATTTAAATATACGCAAGTGCAATGTATTTTAAGGAAACCCAAACTTGAATCATCTTTGCTCATGTTGCTGTCAAGAGATTAAAGTAGACAAAATACAAAGTGATTTGCTTTTTATCACACTATCTATTACGGAGATTTGACCATTTATACGGGATGCCTTGGCAAACATTAATAAATGGCATTTGTATCTTGTGAGTGGCTGTCTCTCCTGATCTAAAATAAGAATTAATGAAGCGGCTCGTCCAAAGTGCACAGTGTGCACTGAGGGAGGGGACATCACATACCAACGCATGAGAGAGTCGGATATCACTGCAAGCGAGTGGGAAAGATTTTACAGTTAAGAGGAAATAGAATAGTTCTAAGAAATAAAAGGAAGAGGCTGGGACAGAAGGAAAGAGAGGTGATGATTATGGGTTTGCAATAGGTTTCTGCACATCCTTTTGTGCGCCTTTCACCCAACAGCATAGGGTTAACATGTATGTGTTTGGACTCAAAGGATTTCTACAATATTTTTTTTCCATGATCCTATTATTTTTTTAAAGTTCTATTGCAGATTAGCACAAATAAAGTGGAACTCTGACACCAAAAGGTATTGTAGCGACACCAAATTGTTTAATAGAGGGAGAATATGCAAAATATGTGTAAATGTATGGGGACACAGCCCTTTATCATTGTACATGGATAAAAAGGCTGTGTCCCAAAACATTTATACATTTTTTTCATATTCCCCTCCATTAAACAATTGTGTCACTAGTTCACCTGAAATACCATTTTTTGGTTTATTTGTGCTATATTTTGTACCAGTGGAGACTCCATGACAGCGGTGGGTCAGATGTATTAATATTTGTAGGGACTTTTGTAAGTAGGTTAGAACAAGCTGGAATACGTGGATAACTTGTTAAATAAGTGGAATATTGCAAAAGCTGAAGGAAACTTAAACAGCAACAAATCTCAGTCAACACAACAATGGTGAATGATCCCACTAAGATTAATGTCTACTAGTGAGGGTACAATTCATAATTAAAGCTGATCTATTTTTTTTAATTTTTTTTTTTTAAACATAATAAAAATTTTCTCCTATCATCAATCTACAATTATTATAATGGATTATTACATTATTATATGTCTATATTTACATTTAATAAAATATTTAAAAAGACAAAAAAAAAGGTATTGCTTTTAGGACAATCCTTTTTTTTTTTATTGTATTCTCAATTATTTATATATTTTAAAGAGAGAAACTCTAACTAACTACATAAAATTAGAGCCAATATATATGTATGGTAAGCTCAGCTAAATTCCATGCTTTAAGACTTTATATTGGGACCATGTCCCTCAGTGTTAGGTTGGGCTCCTCCTCCAACAACAGTCCATGAACGGAACCTATGGCACGCGCGACGAGCACCTTGTGTGCATTAGGCCTTCTCCAGAGTAAAGCATTGAATCAATGCTTCCTGTGGGGATTTATAAGGCGCTGTACATCCTCATGTTAAGCAAGCTTTGCAGCTGCAAGGCTAAAATGACAGGAACATTGTACTCAATCTGATTGAATTGGTCTAAATTGTCCGGGATAACCAGCAGGCATATTATGTATAGGGAGTTGTGAGAAGCAACAAGGCACTAGAATTAATTTTTTGAAGTCCAACACACATGAGCAAAACAAGGCCCATAAAGTTTACTCTCGCTCACTCTAAGCACCATAAATGAAGTGTTTATGTTGCAAACACCCTGTCCCTGCAGCCTTTCTTTTCTGAAAATGTTACATTCTGATAAATATATATATTTGTTCTGTGTAAGGCCACCTGCTTGGCATATCAAACTTCCTCTTTCTTCTTGGTTGGCATTAACAGTTTTGTGCAACTTTTGAGTGGGTGTCATCACACAGAGTATGCTATCCCCAGACGCCATGGACAGGGTGAGTTATACACACACTTTCAAAGCTCCAGCTGCCCGACTTTCAGACATTCTAAGAAAAAACTTCTAGAAAATTCTAGTTTTTGACCTATGCCCTTCCTATGTTCAGGGGTCAAAAATACAACACAAACGGATTATGTTTATTAAAGAGCAATGCTGGACACTCTTACCTGGTTAGAATGTGTAACTATGAGCGTCCTCTGTTCTGGAAAGTTATGATAAAGGTTGGAAATAATCTGAACGGCCACATCCGTTTTTCCTGTTCCGGGTGGACCAACAACCTTAAAGAAAATATTGACAAAAAGTGTTTTTAAAAGTGGAATTCCTTCATTGCACCTATTTTCTTTTTTTTTTTTTTATAAATCACAATCCTATATGACAGCAGAAGATGGTTAAGAAATACTTTTAAGGAGAGTATTAGTCATAAGATATTCATGTGGTAGGAGAACACAGCCAAAAGGATTATTTTCAAGAATTCCACAATGATGAATTCAGGAACAATCTGAAGGCTGAAAGACGGCCAAGATCATGAGGCATGCTCGTCAACTTAAAATTGTTGGCGTTTTCTTTGTTCGTATTTGTTTTTACTTTTTTTGTGTCCATGACAGAAGTAAAATTAAAAAAAATAAAAACATTTTTCAGCCGGTCTGGAGGAAAATTAGGAATATCAACAGATTACCTTGGTTGACAAATTTGAAAATATGGTAGTTTCCTTGCAATGTACCACTGACATGCATTGTAAGAAGTACATGCCATTTTATTCAAACACTAGGTGCATTTTCAAACGTTTGATTCTGTTAAAGAGAAAAAAATGTTCTTTTAGCAGAAACTACACTAGCAGTCTAGCCTATGAATAACTCATTCTGGCAAACTGAGTTCAGCTACTAAACCAAATGACAAGTGGCCACTCTGCACTGACTGTCGAATAGAAGCTACAGAGAATATGTTCAGGGAATATCAAGTACATATGTGAGATTTCTCTAGGAAATGTTAGATTAGACTAGTTTATATTCTACATATTAACAGGGCAGGGGATAAGAAATTCCAAATTAAACAGCGTAAACATTAGATGACTCTTTACAGGAAGTGTTTAGGTAGGCTTTGTAAGTCGCATGCAGGGAGGTGTGCCTGGGGCTGCATATACAAAGTGATTTAACTCCTGGATGATAGCAAATTGAGCAGTGAGACGGCAGGGGCATGATCTATACAGCTAAACTGCTTTATTAAGCTAAAGTTGTTTTGGTGACAATAGTGTTCCTTTAAATTAATCGTGGATGTTTGGCCATAATGAGGGGGGAAAAAATGAAAAAAGCCCTCATCCTTTAAAACCTTACTCTTCCTGTAAGGAGTCATCTAATGTTTACGCTGTTTAATTTTGGAATTTCTTATCCCCTGCCCTGTTAATAGCTTGCAAGACTTTGCAGGAGCCTCCTGTGTGTGATTAAAGTTCAATTTACAGAGCAGCAGACAAAATCTTTTAAAAAAGGTTAACATGTGATAGAAAATAAAACCAAGTTTTTCTCATGCAGGCTGTGTCAATCACAGCCAGGGGGTGTGGTTATGGGCTACATGGCAGAAAATTGAGGGTCAGTTTGCATCATAACTACTCTAGTGTTTATAGTGTTAGTGGTAGAGTCTTTGGTGCAATCCTTATATCAAACTGTTTATCCCAGCACTCCAAGCTTTCGCATCATCTTAGCAGCTGACACCGGCTCTAGGTGCTGGGAGAGCCCTGCTTTTGTCAGGACAACTCAAACAGGGACACACACCATAAACACTTTGCACAATAGCCAGTATCATAAGCTGGTGGTTTGGGTATTTAGTTTCCCTTTAATTAAAAATGATTTTTTTTTACAAATAAATATTTGTGGCTAGGAAGACAGGGAAATATGTCCATGGAATTAAAAAAGATATTTTTGTTAAGACTTGACAGTGTAATTCTGGGCATCTATCCATGAAAGAAAAAAAATACATTAGAAAATTGGAAATGGTACAAATACAGGCAACAAAATTAATTAAGAGCCCAGAGACTTCAGTTATGAGTGCAGACTTTTCAAATAGAGCTGATTAGTTCTGGAAAAGAGGCATCTATCTATAAGGGGATAGAAAGAATTATCATGCACAAGTTTATTCGAGGACACGGGTCACTTTTTAAGGACAGAAAAAGAAAATTAATTCATCAAAATAATAAGTTCGTGTTACCAAAAATGTGGAATTATTTGTTAAGTTGTTTTGTTGGACTCTATTGATCTGCCAAAGAATGTAGAATACTTTCCTAGCAAAAGTTAATATGAAGTGTTACAGCATATTATATTCCTAGGGAAAATCTGACTGTCATAGGAAACATGGAAGTGTTTGTGTGTTTAAATCCCTCTGAGGCAATACTGAATATTATGTTTTGTCATCTTACATGTTAACAAATATGGACAGCTAGAAATTTGTAATTTCTGTTTAATTGACCTTGTATCAAAACAATAAGAGAGTGAGAAAGAACAAGCTAATCTGTAATAGCACACTCATTCTGTCTGTCTCTGATGTGTAGAACAACACCAGGACCAAATGTCCTCCACCACAGCTAACTATTTTTTCATTATTTTGATATTATATATATATATATTTATATTTATAAATGAAACCAAGAGGGCTGCGCTCACCTAAACATTCATACATTATGGGATACATAGACATTGTGGCACGCATATGCAATATATGATCATATAATGTAACTAAACCCCCATAATTTTTTGCCTAGGTGAGGTGTTTTTAAATAAAAACTATTACAATCTGTGAGATTTGAAATTATTGTTTAGTGAATAAGCAGGTGCGCTTGATTGTGTATTTTGTATGAAAAAAAAAAAAAAAAATATATATATTATATATATATATATATATATATATATAATGTCCAAATACTTGCACTCCTGTGATAGTAGGTTAATGCCCGGTGCTGATAAGGCAAATAACATAAAAAATAAAGTAATAGGTAATAGCACTCCAAGGACTTCAAAAAGTATAAGGTGAAAAAAACTTAGCTTTTATTCAGCAGCTGCCACACAGAATCGACGTTTCAGTTCTAATACAGAACTTTCATCAGGATAAGGTGCATAACAAAAACCAACATTTATATAACAAACAAATAGGTACATAGTATACAAAACAGGTGAGGCTTACCCCAATCCCTGTGTGGTCCCCATGGTGACCGCCAAAAAACGCAGGCAAACTTGACCCCTACAAGTGTATTCAACAGCTGGGATGTGCTGCTGTATGGCAGTAGCTGGAATCGACGGCTGTCTGTGTTGACATGTCGTCATAGTAACAAAAACCGCTCGTGTAGAGGTGGGCGGGGACTCAAGTGGGCGGGGCTATGGTGCGATCGGTGCAACGAGCTCAGTGCACGGAGGGCGGGCAGGGATCTGCTGTGGGGAGAGAACCTCTCTCTTAATTGTAGTGCCCTGCCGTCCAGGAACTAAACGGACTGGCAGTTTTCTAACCTAGTCCTGTGAACAGGGGCAGGGAGCAACCAAAAAAACGGAAAAAATGAAAAGTAAATACATAAAGTCATATAAGGCAAGGCTGTGGTAAAAATGAAAAGTAAGCCTAAATAAGGCTATATGATCAAAAGGGGCTGGGATAGGGACATATATAAAGTACCTCAAGATTAACTTGCAAATGGTAGGGTCTAAGGCTGGACAAAGGGTGTGATTAAGTCTACATATAAAATGCTAGCTCAATAGGTGTAATGTAACAGAGGCCAGATGTTACAATGTCTGGTACTTAGTTATGGTGCCCAATACAACAACAGGGGATAAGTAGTTAGCCCTAAATTAAATACAGAGGACATGGAATCTATTTATTTATTTCAAAGTGAGTGTAATCTCCCTAAGGTAGCTGAGCAGTAGGTCAAAATGTGTTGCCAACCTTCGTGTCATAATAATACGCGGATAGTGTAGTATACGTGGTAGGTACTACAACCATGGACAGAATATTATCTGAACCTATGGCTGTGCCTAGAATTCCACTGTCCTGAAAGGAGTGCTAGGAATTCTGGAGCCCCTGCAGGGACGTGTGGCAAAAAAAGGGGCTATTGTCGTCTGTATATGTATATGGAGGAGATATATGTGATGTCCTAAGGGTAAAGTATCCGTACATAGAGTGTTCATCAACCTGCAGTACAATTGACATTGTTATAGGGACATACAGGCATAAAGACAAAAAAATAAATAAAATAAATAAATAAAATATACAGAGGTGGCCCATTCATTAAGTCCAATATATATGGGAGCATTGTAGTGAGGAGGAGTTTTTTGGTTCAGTCCTGGAGATATATCATAGAAAAATACCTAAAGTGTATTTTTCATTTAGTCCCCTGGGTTGCACAGTGTCCAGTGTTCGGATCCAATAGAGCTCTCTTTGCAATAGGAGCTTCTTGCGGTCACCACCCCTTAAGGGTGGTGGGACATGATCAATGGCCAAAAACTTCATTGTTGGTAGGGGATGGTTATACTCCAGGAAATGTTTTGCCACCGGCTGTTCTGACCCATTGTCTCTATAGGCTGTACGTATGCTTGAACGGTGGTTGCGGATTCTTTCTCGGAGTGGTAAGTCGTTTTTTCCCACGTACATCAAACCGCAGGGGCACCCCAGTTTATAAACCACAAAGTCACTTGTGCAGGTAAGTCTGTGTTTTATGAGGTATTTTTTGCCGGTGTGTGGATGTACAAACGATTTGCTGGGGATCATATGGCTGCATGTCACGCAGCCCAAGCATCTGTGACACCCCAGGTTCTGGTAGGTAGTAGCTTTGCTATAGCAGTGTGTGGGGTCAGTTTTGACCAATAGATCCCTCAAGTTGCTGCCCCTCCGGTAGCACATCATTGGGCGCGGTTTGAATTGAGGTGGCAAACTGGTATCATTCTGTAGGATTCGCCAATTGCGGTCCACTGATTGTTTAATCTCGTCAGATATGGTGGTATATGTTATTGGGAATACCAATCTTTCTGCCATACAGCAGCACATCCCAGCTGTTGAATACACTTGTAGGGGTCAAGTTTGCCCGCGTTTTTTGGCGGTCACCATGGGGACCACACAGGGATTGGGGTAAGCCTCACCTGTTTTGTATACTATGTACCTATTTGTTTGTTATATAAATGTTGGTTTTTGTTATGCACCTTATCCTGATGAAAGTTCTGTATTAGAACTGAAACGTCGATTCTGTGTGGCAGCTGCTGAATAAAAGCTAAGTTTTTTTCACCTTATACTTTTTGAAGTCCTTGGAGTGCTATTACCTATTACTTTATTTTTTATAATTTATAATATATATATATATATATATATATATATATATATACACACATATATATATATATATATATATATATATATATATATATATATATATATATATATATATATATATATATATATACATACACACACACACATATATACATACACACTTAAAGGACCACTATAGGCACCCAGACCACTTCAGGTCAATGAAGTGGTCTGGATGCCAGGTCCAGCTAGGTTTAACCCTGCAGCTGAAAACTAAGCAGTTTCAGAGAAACTGCTATGTTTCACTGAGGGTTAATCCAGCCTCTAGTAGCTGTCTCACTGACAGTCGCTAGAGGCGCTTCCTCGATTCTCATACTGAAAATCACTGTGAGAAGACGTTGGACGTTCATAGTAAAGCATTGAGTAAGCCTTTCCTATGGACAGTTTGAATCCGTGTGCTGCTTTTGCCGCGCATGCGTCAGCAGGAGGAAGAGAGGTCACCAGCGCCGAGGGAGCCCGGCACTGGAGAAAAGGTAAGTAGCTGAAGGGGTATTAACCCCTTCAGCCCAGCAGGAGGGGGGCCAAATAACCCTATAGTGCCAGGAAAACGAGTTTGTTTTCCTGGCACTATAGTGGTTCTTTAATGGAACACTATAGGGTGAGGAACACAAACATGTATTCCTGACCTAAAGTGTTAAAATCACTATCTAGCCCCCCGGCCCCACTAAATATAGTAAAATCTTACTTTATATTCAGTCTCCCAGCGCTGGTTCCGACCCTGATCTGCCTCCTTGGCTGACATCATCAGAAGTGATGATCTCAGCAAATTACAATGCTTTTCCACGGGAATGCATTGGATTGGCTGAGATCATCAAAGAGGCAGGCTGTGGGCAGAGCCAAATGCTGCTCTGGCCAATCAGCATCTACTCATACAGATGCAGTGAATTAATGGATCTATATGGGGAAAGTTCATTGTGCAGCACTGCCCCAGGAAGCACCTCTAGTGGCTGAGGTGTGGTCAATGGAGGTGTCCCTAGGGTGTAATGTAAACACTGCCTATTCTCAGAAAAAACAGTGTTTACATTAAAAAGCCTGCAGGGACTGGCAACAGTCACCAGAACAACTACATTAAGCTGTAGTTAGTCTAGTGACAACAGTGTCCCTTTAAAGAATAACACTAAGTATTTGGTAGTTCATTTCCACAAAATAAATTAAACATTTTTGTTTTTAAAGAATATGTAATCATAGCACTAAAGTTAAAGTTATTCTGTAATGTAATAGACAGGAAGGAAGACAACTGCTCACTGTAATCTCATTTTGTGGAATTATTTTTCATACTAAATACAACTAAACCATGGCAGGAGGAGACTGACAGGTGCAGTGAAGGGCAGACTGACAGATGGAGTCTGTCTCATTTGCCTCCTGTTGGTCTCACATGCAGTATTCGCAGAGCACTGGATACACAGTTACTGACAAACCTAGCCTTTATGATAAAGCATGAAAATGTTCTGCGAGTCTCAAGGTGGATTCTATAACTACGGCAAAGTCAATTTCAAATCTGTAAATATCTCAAAAATTAAAGTCACAGGTGAACAAATATGCAATAGTAATAAGAGATTGTATGAAAACCTGTTCATAATATAGGATTCTCTAATCTCACACAGCCCTGCATGTAAAACATGGGATATCCGTATCTCACACACAGCTATGTATGTAACATGGGATATCCGTATCTCTCACACACAGCCCTGCATGTAACATGCGATATCTGTATCTCACACGGGATATATGAATCTCACACAACTCTGTATGTAACATGGGATATCTGTATCTCACACACAGCCCTGCATGTAAAACATGGGATATCCGTAAACTCACACACAGCCCTGTTTGTAAATATGGGATATCCGTATCTCACACACAGCCCTGCATGTAACATGGGATATATGAATCTCACACAGCTCTGTATGTAACATTGGATATCTGTATCACACAGCTCTGTATGCAACATGGGATATCCGTATCTCACACAAAGTACAGGCAATGTAAGTATTCGACATATAGATAAAGGTAACTTTCTATGACTCTTACCATGGTAAGACCAGGCTGCATGCCCGCTCGGATAGCTTCTGTCTGGGTTGCAGTGAATTGAATGGTGTTGCTGTAAAGCAAACACAATAAATGTAAAATAAAAATAATAATAATAATACAAACAAACTCAACACGACAATTATAGGAATAAACATGTTCTATTGAATAAATGACAATATAGAAATTTAGAATTATAATCCAATTTATTTATTGTAATATCATTTGTCAAGAGTAAAGGTTTACATTATGTAACATGGAACATGAAAATGTTTTTGAGGAAGGATCGTGAGAGGTGAAATGCATTTTAAAAGATTTAGTAACCAAGAAAATGTTTATGAAATATTCAAAAAGGTTAGGTTTTTAATCTGATTTTAGGGGTGATGGGTCAGAGGTTCATGTGGAAATAAATTATACTGTCCCTATTATATATGCTAGCTCTGTTTAGGGATACAGCATACTGAATTTCAAAATTACCGTTTTGGCTGGTTATAAGGATAGGGCCCACGGTTCGGGATCACATGAGGCTCAACAACCAACGTGGGGGGCTCTTCCGGTCCAGTTTCTTCCTCACCATCTTCCTTCCGTTTCTTCCCTTTCCCACCATAGACTGGAAAGGTGATTCTGAGAAAAGAGACATGTTACATGCACAGGACACACTGGGGAAATTTTACCATAGTGTTGTGATCGTAAAGCAATGCAATGCGGTCACAGTGGGGTTAATAACTAAGTGGATGCCCGTGTTGTCTTCACTGGTTTCCACAGTGATTGCCCCACTTTTAAAACTTTACATCACTTTTCAGATCACTACACTTGAAATGTCTCCCTCATTGTTTCCAAAGCTTGTTGACTGAACTTTAGACGCTCGTTACCTAAAAGGAGCCTTATGCAGGGCAGGATCCTCCATCGTCACCTTAACCTTGTAGTCAGGGAAGCTGGCTTTCAGGTGATCCAGGCTCAGAAATGTGTCGTTGAAGTCAAGAGTTGAGATCTGATTGGGCATTTTTGAGTAATGGGCACTGCCTGGGTCTCCGTAACCCAAGATTATGTCATGGAGCCAATCTGGCACAACGCAGTCCGTGTTCATCAGTTTCCGGATGGTTGCAAGCACAGCCTGCCAAGAACAATTGTGATACATGAAGAAATGGAGATGTCAGAATAAATTAGGAGACTTTCTATTAAGCAACAGAAGTAGTCATCCTTTATGTATTGTTAGATATGTCAAAATGTCATTAGTTTTGTTCTTCACTGAATAAAGAGAAAATGTTCTTATCAAGTATCTAGTGGGTTGGTCTACAGAAAGACTCTCTTACCACTCAATCACAACACAGCATGCAAATCTATTGTTTCTACTACAATAAGCCAGTGACGAAACATCAGTTCTGCTACCAATTTGGGGGTTTCACAGCAAGATTTGCAATGCACGCTAGCGGATTTATAAGTGATATAACTGACTTCTTACTGCACAAATGTAAAAAATTAACAACGATCTACCTTCCCAAGTAAAAGGAAAAATAAATGAATTGTGAATGGAAAGTTTTTATTGTGATGGATTGCAAAGCTCTGATTAATATGGTTTAATTCTTTAAATCCAACAGAAGCCTAGATACAGGTTTTATGGTAAGTAGCTCTTAGGTGCCAAAGGCTAAAATATAAACATTTTGCAGACGTTTCCGTAAACACTCAGAGTTTTGGCACCACGTTAAAATTAATGTACATTCATCTTCCAGACTGAGACAAATGCAGTGTTGGGAGCTCTGTAACTTGTGTTATGTATATCTCCTAACATTATTACATATCAGCATCAAACACTGTCACATTAGCTAACCATCCAGGGCTTGGCCGTCCTTCTCTGTACCCTCGTTAAGCCCAGAGAAATGTGAAACCTAGGAGCTATCTCCAATGAGATCCTTGGCATTAACTGTTTTACTTCCACACAGGTCAGGAAACACCTTACGGAGTAAAAAGTGAGCTTAAGGCAGTTCACAATCCACGTACAGAGATTCGTGGCTTGGTGTTTGCAAAATGCACCACAGCGTGACCAGAAATGTTCATGAATGCTAAACGGAGATAGTCGCCACATTTTTAAAAATAAGCTATATCTCGATAAATACAGACATGATTAGTACGATGCTGAAAGACGCACAATTCATCAGTAACTTGTTATTGCACAACTACATCATGAATTGAATGAGAATGTTTAGCATTAAAGTGAACCTGCCAAGCAAATCTAAACAATAAAATGGCACCTGTACCCTGTGCTAACCAGCTTTTTACTCAGTTATGAAGATTCCCCTTTTGGTCTCTTACCCCCTTCCTTGTGTCACCAATGCCCTACCATGTTTCATAGCCTACTATGTCTCGTACACCCCCATGTCACCATTGACAACCCCAAGTAGTATCTCATACTCCCCCCCCCACCACCCTCCTCTTACTCCCATGCCAACATTGCCACCCCCAGTGTAGTGTCTCAGACTCCCCTATGTGCCTCCTACCCCCAACGCAGCATCTCATACTCCCCTATGTGCCTCCTACCCCCACCGCAGCATCTCATACTCCCCTATGTGCCTCCTACCCCCAACGCAGCATCTCATACTCCCCTATGTGCCTCTTACCCCCAACGCAGCATCTCATACTCCCCTATGTGCCTCTTACCCCCAACGCAGCATCTCATACTCCCCTATGTGCCTCTTACTCCCTACGTGCCTCCTACCCCCAACGCAGCATCTCATACTCCCCTACGTGCCTCTTACCCCCAACGCAGCATCTCATACTCCCCTACGTGCCTCTTACCCCCAACGCAGCTCATACCCCCTATGTGCCTCTTACCCCCAACGCAGCATCTCATACTCCCCTATGTGCCTCTTACCCCCAACGCAGCATCTCATACTCCCCTATGTGCCTCTTATCGCCAACGCAGCATCTCGTACACCACTAAGTGCCTCTTACCCCAATGCAGTATCTCATATTTCCCTATGTATCCATTATCCCTCTATTAGTGGCTCATAGTTCCCTATGTATCTCTTACCACCCCCCCATGTAGTGTCTCCTACTCCAACACTCTTTTCTTACCCACCCACCATAGTGTCCTTCTCCCCATTTGACTCTTATCCCCATGCCATGATTCCTCCTCTTGTGTCTCTTGCATTCCTGTAACATGGCTTTGCAGGTCTTGCTAGAGGAGCTTTATTTTCCCCTACCAGGACTGATAAAGCCGCTCTCAGCATACCCCTCCTGTCCCAGCAAGCAGAGAGCGGCTTACTCGGACCAGGCAGAGGATAATGTCTGCAAGGCAATACTACAATACTGCTTAGTATGCAACTGTTCAAGTCCCTATACAAGTTAAATGAAAATATTCAACTCAGATATAGATTTTCAATTGAGATTCTAAAAAACAAAAAGAAAAAGCAAAGCCCACACACTGTTATGCACCTATAACGTTGTTGTCCCTGTTTCCTCTCCCTGTATAATCATACATCACACGGGAAGGCTGTATCATAAACACCTTACTTTACCTTGAAATTGTTCTCCTTGGGTTTCCGCCTCAAGATCAGATTGAACGTTTCATAGACATCCTCAGAGCCACTCTGGATAGTCCTAGTCATGTCCTGTTGGTACTGGTTGGGATCTAAGAAAACGCGGTAAGTTCTGCTGTCTCCTTTGAGTTTGGGTTTTGGTTCTGGTCCTACACATTGAAACAGGGAAATGGTCATTGTAATAATGTCAGCATACAAAGGTAGCACTTTTTAAATAATACACACAATCATCACTGTAGGACAGATCGTTTAGGATGTTTTCCTAAACATTTCAACACACTGTTTATTTCTCCAAGGCAGATGTAAGTCAAAATAAGCAAAGGAACACTATAGCGTCATTAATACAAATGTGTATTCCTGACCCTATAGTTTTTAAAGCACAATTTAGGTGTTTTTCCCTCCCCCCTTAACCCCATTTAATAGCTCCTCCCCTAATCAGCCTCATTGGCTGAGATCATCAGAAGTAATGATTCCAGCCAATCTAATGCTTTCTCTGAAAAGGCAGTGTTTATAGCCTGTGCCTGCAGGCATTTTCATGTAGACACCAGATAACTACATTAAGCTGTAGTTGTTCTGGTTACTATAGTGTCCTGTTAAGGCTTAAGGATTTAAGTAATTCCATTAATATGTATAACTAGTACAGGGATGTTATAGGAGTGCTCTCTTGTCTTCTAAACTGTTGCCTGAGAGCAGTAATGTCTAAATCAGTTGGCGGGCTGTGGAATGTTTATTGTTCGTAGTTGCCAGGTTTGTTTTGTAAACGTGCAGATAGCCGCAATGACATTTTACCTTCCTCTACGACGCGTCCCTTCTCATCCAGCATGCCTTGAATCTCGCAGCCTCTCACATACAGCAGACCAGTCTGCTCAACAATGGACTGTCGCCGATCAATCTTAGTGCCGTATGGTAAAGTAGGTTGCAAAGTGACAAGGAAGCAGACATCATGTTTCCGGAGGCCTGGAAGAATTGTAAAGTGTTAGTTTTTTTTTTTGCGAAATGACCCTCTCACGATACAGCACTCATTCGGTTAAGAGACTGCAACATGAAATAAGACAATTGCTCATTACAATCTTCCAAGAAATGTAACAGCAACTCGCTCCAAAAATGAAATCTATTTTTCTTTTTGGTGGTGGTGTCCCCTTAAAGCCATGTTTTGCTGGGATACTGTACATGAAACCAAGATTCTTAATTTTTTTATATGCACAGCAAGGAAATCGTTTAGATTTTCAAAGTACAATCTGAGTTACACCTGGCCAAAATGAACGCACTATTCAATAGACGTCTCATTAAAAAAAAAGACCAGGATGAGTTGAGAAAATGTGCCCATTCAACAAAATATAATGTGTACAATTCTGATTCATGAAAAATCCAATGGCCTACAAAGTGGCAATTTTTAAGTATATTTAATCCCTGGAAAAGTATTATGAGGTTTCTGCATAATGTCCACTTAGAATAGTCTACTGTAAGCCGATTCCAATCCAAATGACTTTTAATTAGTAGCATTTGACAAATTGGTTGGTTGATTGCCTTGTACGATTGGGTTGACCATGATGCTAAAGGCCATAGATGAGAACGAAAGCAGAATAAGCTCAAGGTACAGAGCACAGCCATACGGAGCAGGCATGCCAGAAAATGAGGTCTCCTTGCTGGAAGGTCTTGTAATCAAGAAGAAGGGACAAGCCATGTGATGAAATGGGCTACGGGCCACTGAATCTTGGGGAGACTATGGGAGTAGGACTGAGCTTCAGGCTGAGGGGGATGGGCAAATAGAATTGGAAGAAGGTAATAATGGCAATGACAGGTGCAAGAGCACAGTTTTTTTAATGTAACATGTAGCGTTAAAAAAAATAAAAAAGTACGAGAAGCACTGTGACAGCTGTATTCCAGCTGTTGTTTGGATGTCCAGGTGGACTATAAGCTCTTTCTCGCTGACACACTATCTAGTAGTCTAAATACAGCTGTCTTTGCTGGATGTAAAGTTAGAATAAAGTGATTTGCAGGTCACCTCTATGAGCAATCATTCCAGTGTCACAAAAGATCACAGCAGTTCTAGACGTCCAGTGGGAGTTCAGTAAGCACTGAATAATGGAACACAGTAAAGAGAAACCATATCTTTGCTCTCTTTTAATTATGTCACCAGTGTACAATATTTAAACCTTTGCCATGCCTGCTGAATCTGTTTTAGTATAAACTCAGCCAGATTAAGAGAAGACTGATTATAGTCTGATTACAAGAATTTCATTTTTCCTGCACATACCGCTCCAATTATCATACCATAGGAGAAGCCACGACAAGAAAAACTTGTGCCACGGTATTAAGATTTTTCCATACAAGAGGCACTTTGCACTACTATGATTTAACACAATGTTGTAGCAGTGAGAACGAAGGAAGAAGAACGAAAAGCCTGTTCGCTTCAGTCAACCTGTCTGAGTTTAAGATTAACTGTCACATGTGAGATTTTGCACCGTGACATGCAGCACAGGAAAGTTTTTTTTAATTTAATTTTTTTAAACACTTATTTTCTTTGTAATAATGTTTACTGGTGTTGTGGAAATGTGTTAAAGTCACTTTCAGAGAAATTACTTGGAATTTTGGTGGTGGAGTTTAATCTACATTCCAACCATCAGATGACATTAAAAATAAAAGTTAAAGGGACACTATAGTCACCAGAACAACTACAGCTTATTGAATTTGTTCTGGTGAGTAGAATCATTACCTTCAGGCTTTTTGCTGTAAACACTGTCTTTCCAGAGAAAATGCAGTGTTTACATTACAGCCTAGTGATAACTTCACTGGCCACTCCTCAGATAGCTGTTAGAGATCCTTCCTGGGTCATGGCTGCCTAAAATGCATCCAAACATTCAGTGTCTCCTCCCTCTGCATGCAGACACTGAACTTTCCTCATAGAGATTCATTGATTCAATTAATCTCTATGAGGAGATGCTGATTGGCCAGGGCTGTGTTTGAATCATGCTGGCTCTGCCTCTTTGTCAGTCTCAGCCAATCCTATGGGGAAGCATTGTGATTGGATCAGGCTACCACTTCTGATGATGTCAGCAGACCTTGTTTTTCTGAGACAAACAGCATGCAGAGTTACAGCTTCAGGCTTAAATACAGTAAGATTTTTACTATATTTATGGAGGCATGAGGGGACCAGGGGGCTAGATGGTGGTTTTAACACTATAGGGTCAGGAAAACATGTTTGTGTTTCTGACCCTATAGTGATCTTTTAAAGGACCACTATAGGCACCCAGACCACTTCAGCTCAATTAAGTGGTCTGGGTGCCAGGTCCCTCTAGTATTAACCTTGCAGCTGAAAACATAGCAGTTTCAGAGAAACGGCTATGTTTACATTAGGGTTAATCCAGCCACTAGTGGCTGTCTCACTGACAGCCGCTAGAGGCGCTTCCGCACTTCTCACTGTGATTTTCACAGTGACAAGACGCCAACGTCCATAGGAAAACATTAAGAAATGCTTTCCTATGGACTGATTGAATGCGCGTGCGGCTCTTGCCGTGCATGCGCATTAGGCTGATGACATCAGAAGAGGAAGGAGAGTCCCCAGCGTCAAGGGAGCCCAGCGCTGGAGAAAGGTTAAGTGTTTAACCCCTTCCTCTCCCTAGAGTCCAGCAGGAGTGGGATCCAGAGGGTGGAGGGGACCTATTAACACTATAGTGCCAGGAAAATGAGTTTGTTTTCTTGGCACTATAGTGGTCCTTTAAGTGGAGCAAAAGTAGAGGGAAAAAAATAAAGAAAGATAAGTAGACAGTTTACTGCTTAAATGCAGTAAAGTTAGATGGGTAGAGAGGAATATGGAACCTATTAACCTATAGTTAAGAATATAAAAGATTAGAAGTCCTCTCTCCCTCTCATGTGATGACTGTCTCATAGATAATACAATAATCTGATAAGAAATGTATAAGTAAAAGTGTAAAAAAAAAAAAATAAGATACATTTTAAGTGTTCTATGATGCAGTGTATTGTATAAAAATGATCCTTACATCCAGCCTTATATATTCATAGCTATTATGCACACTCTTTCACCAATATGCAGATTTGTAAAAGCACTTAGTAAGGTTTAAAAGTATGTAACCTTATAACTATAAAGATACTGATCCAGTATAGTTAAAAATACAATACGTTATTAGAAAAGTAGAAATAAAATTAAACTAGTGCTTGCATTCTTGCCAGTTACGAAATACAGGAGTACACAGTTACAATATGTATCTAGTACATGGTTAGTCTGTTGTTCGTTGAAGAATGATACAAAAAATCCTGTGACTCAGACCTGATAAGAATTTATCAATGGATAAATCCGCAGGAGCGGAGAAACGCGTTTGGAAGCTGACACCTTATCATCCTTACCCAGGACCTTTACACAGCGGCACATCAATCTTCACAGAAATCCTGTAACATCAAACAGCTTGACAACCACTCGGGACGCCGAGAATTCTTATCAGGTCTGAGTCACAGGATTTTATGTATCATTCTTCAACGAACAACAGACTAACCATGTACTAGATACATATTGTAACTGTGTACGCCTGTATTTCGTAACTGGCAAGACGGCAAGCACTAGTTTAATTTAATTATATATTTTTTCATCTTTTCTAATAAAGTATTGCATTTTTAACTACACTGGATCAGTATCTTTATTGTTTAATAATTTTTATTTTATTTTTTTTTACACTTTTACTCATGAATTTCTTATCAGATTATTGTATTATCTATGAGACAGAGTCATCACATGACAGAGAGAAAGGACATTAGATGACATTCCCTGAGATCGTTTCTTCTTCTTCTGAATGAGATTAGAATATCTAGAGTGGTTTATCAAGCCTTAAGATATAATTATTTGCGCTAATATTTTGCAAACAGTATGACAAAGAGTTTCAGTTCTGAGACTATACTTGAATTTAAAAAGCTACAACACCGTACAAGTAATTAAGTTTTTATTTTTTATTTTTTTTAAGCACCTATGCATTGTTGTTTTCCGTTTTTTACGAATGATCAGATCGCAAAGACAACAGTGAGAGATTAATGACCAACTCAAACAACGTAACGAAATACACAGAAGCGTGCAGCCAGGCACTTTGTGCCATCTCTTCCTGTTCTGTAGTCATGCCAGACATCTGGGGATGGACAGTGGCACGTGAGCTGCCTTGGCAGATCCAGTCTCAGTGCTAGCTGAACACATGGGGCTCACTTACAGTGCCAACAAATGTCACCTTAAGTGAGATCCCCCAGGACGGAGACCTTACGGGGATATGTTATGCTGTTCTGTGCCAGCTGGCACTATCCTGCAGCCTACTTATAGGGCAACATATAAATTACACCTCCGTGTCCAGGCTGCATGGACACTCGACCCTCTACAGTTAAAAATTGATTTATTTTCAGTTGAGCTTCTCACTGGATGGTTTTGGGGAAGTGACACACTTAGCTTCCATCAGGTCAATTATAATAACACACGAGCCATGCACAAAAGGAGTATCTACGTGTAATCTGTTCTGGTGTTAATTCCTCGAGTGCTAAATTGTGAAGGAAAAAACTGCAATGTACCAAATTGTAAATGTCTTATTCAAAGTCAATAAGGTGGTTTGGGCGACTATCTCAATCAAATGTGTCAGTACTAGATCGATTCGTAAATAAATTAAAAATAAAGTAAGTACAGCTCAAACATATCAAACAAGTTTGGGTTATGTCAACACATGGTCAGTGCAAAAGATTTAAAACAAATAACGTGACATAATTCTAGGGTTAATATTTGTAAAGCTCCAATATATTATTCCACAACAACAGACAATTCAATGTATTCATTTTAAGTACAAACTGCAGCATGTAAAGCACTGTGCTGTGAAGCTGCTATAGGGCTGATAGAAATAGCTTTTTAAGTTACCAGGACTAGGAGGGCATTTTGGAGTTGCACCTTTTAACCCTCTTCTCTGCCACGGTTTGCATGAAACTAATAACAGCCAGATATGCATAGAACTATATAGAGTCTGTGCAATTATTTAGGATAAAAACATCTGGTGAAGTCACAGCTGTTCTACTGCAGACACAACAAACACTGAAAACATGTAAACGAGGGTAGACGTAGCAAAAAAATAAAAATAAAAAAAAACAAGAATATGTGACAGCAGTGTCCCTTTAACCTACTGCAGATCTTATTCACAAATAGACGCTCATGTTTCTTAAGTTGTATTTTGAAGGAACAAGCTAAAGCTGTTCTTGATTGAATTAGCTATATGTCTTTACATTGAAGGTGAGGCAGCTATCTGGAATCATGTAAGGCAGTATATGTCCATGCTTCTGTAATCGGAGGGATCTGCCACTATATGAAAAAAAGACTACTACTTCCATACCTTCCCATTCATTCTTGATCTGGTTCTGAACATTGAGATTTATGGTTATGTCAGCACGGACACGCGTTGGCCAGTTTTCCCCAATGTTCGGTTTTGCTACTTCCACTACGGAGAAAGCCACGATGGGTTGAGCCATTCGAGCCCATCCTCCAAAAACGACACCACCATATTCAGATTGCCTGTGTTGGGGAAACATTGCAGAGTTGTCAGGGATTTAAAAAAAAAAAAAAAAAATGTACCATGTACAAAGAGTCATGTCACATTGTGTTTCTCAAGCCTGGAATGAACTATCTGACCAGTTCAAAATATCAACCGCTTTTTTGAGGAAAAAAACAAACAAACAAACAAAAAAACAATTTCAACTGCATACAAAAAAAAAAAAAATTGTCTAGGAGTTAATATAACTAGTATTTCCTGTTTACCATAAAATCTGAGTTGTTCAGTAAACGAGGAATTGTGAGTATTTTGAACTGACCGTCAAATCGCAAATGATAGAATAAATATTATTCTAGCACAGGTTAACAGAAAAACTATTTCAGAGTAATTCTACACAAGTGTCATTGGAATAATAAAAGCTTTGGAAGAGGTTAAGGGATTGCAGAGCGAGACAGAGCCGAACTGTGAGAGGGGTTACTCATCAAAGACAAGCAAACTCAGCATCCTGAAATAGCTGTAATATGAAGCAGAGACAAGGCTCGGATTCCACCAGTCGCTACTACTACTTAGCGTGGCAGGCATGGGGATCTGTGGAAAATGCCAAGGGGATAAACTCAGCACTTGGAATCATAATCGCTCACAATAAGGCACATGCATCGCGTTTAAAAAAGAGTATATATTGTGAAGGGTGGAAAAGTAGTGGATATGACATTAAATCATATTTTAATTACTAGATGTGCTTTCTAGCAACACGGATCCTGACTTGGTTTAGCCTCAGCGTACCTCCAGCATTCTCAGAGGGCTGTCTCACGTTACACAGATTATTGTCAATGGAAATGGAGTTCTGGAGAAGCCTGCCATCTTGTGGTGAAAAATTAACCAGCAGATAGAAAAGTGATGTAAATTTGTTTTGTAATCAGTGTCCAAGTCTAGCTAGCCTATGACATGTTAAATGTGGGTTTGCTGCACGAATAGTCTCTAACGCACACTTTCAAGTCACCAAATAACGGATGTCCGAGTAAGGTGTGTTTTTTGACATAACACTCAATTCACTTTGAATTAGGTTACACATAGATCACTGGTTTCTTTCTTTTGACAATATTTATTTTATAAGAGTTTAGGCGGACAGTAATATTACATTTCACAATAGAGACCGAGATAGACATAGCAAGAATATGTATCGGTAAAGAGAGGAGGAAACACAAAAGGGTTTCCAGTTTAAAAAAAAAAGAAAGAAAAAAAAAGGGCAGCAGATTGCATGTAGACTACAACTATAACATTCGCAGTAGTCTCCCATCTTTCTGCCTCCCCTTGTTAAAGCGTGATAGGGGTATGGGTCTGACATTTTGTGGGGAAAAAAAGTACAATGCTCAGCAATGCAGTCGAGTAGCAAGGGCCAATCAAGATGGTGTACACTGGTTTGAACCCCTGTTAAAACCCCACAACTCAACTCTATTTTTCTGGCAATACAGGTCTGTTATAAGTACCTGGGGTGCGGTTGCTATTCCCAGAACGTGCCGCTCTTGCCGAGCCGTATACCCCTGTTCCTGTCAATTCCAGCCCCTACTGTCTAACCCTAGAGTGTGGACCCTAATTTGGGCACCTAGTGGATGAAACAGGCACATCAATTCTTCGCCTCCAATACAACCGCCTACACTGTACTGGCACGGTTATTTCCATTGCAATTAATACCCCTCAACATCTGAAAGTGTTCTGCGAAATGTAATATAATGTTTCTTGCATTACACTTAAAGAATGAGTTGTCAAGTTCAAACAATGTACTTAATGTAAATTGTTAAAATGGGAAAAGAATCATTTGCAACAAACCAGGAATTGCCAAATTTACTCATCCCGGTTATATTTCCAATTCAGCTGTTTGTCATAAAAGCAACTTAATGCTTTGCAATTTCCAGTTCAATTAACAATCCCTGCAGCCTTCACTTAAGCTTTTAGAGAGCCAATATCCCTATAAAAAAGTATATAACATGGGCATGCACTGAATAGCGACAGATGTACTGACAATCTACAGTAGTGTTACAATGGACATAAAAAGGAGATAAAATTCTAGAGTAAGGTTCATCTTTCCTGTTTTCATAAACCAGTTTGGAGGACAACTCTGTTACAGTAGAACGTTTCAGTGTATGCTAGCAAAATACTATTTAGAGGAGAATGGCTAAGTGATACACCAGTAATAATCTGTTGGTATGCCAAGTCTTTTAGATCTGGTTTAAAAAAAAACAACAACATTAAACAGGCAGTTAACTACCAGTTCATTAGGAGATCACAAATCAAGGATCCATAGAAACAGAAATTCAAAGCAGCATCAATGCTATAATCATGTACTTAATCACTGTGAAAACTGCTAATGCCAACCAATCAAGGAATATTCCCATATCCTTTGATTGAGTATGACAGTGCAGGAGCTCCCCGAGGTGCGACTTACCAGGGCTTCATTCTGCAGACTACATCCTCTATGTCCTGTCTGATTTCATACGTTGACTCCAAGCGGAAGAGGTTGAAATTGCGCAGAAGGTAATCATGTAGTGTAAGGAACTGCAGGTTCAACTTTGGCAATGCCAAGCAACCTAATGGTAGAAAAAGACTGCATGAGAACCCTAATCAACTCATTTTAAAACAGATCTTACCATGAACATATTGAAGAATGCTGCTAATGAACAGATTCATTTTAAGCTCCTAAAGTAGTAATTATATTCTTTATCATAAAAGTAAATGGCACATTATTTGCAAAAGCAGTTGCCATAGTGTTCTGCCATCCTCTCAGATTTGTAGGCATTCTCGATCCTCCGATCTCGCCTTGCTCAAGCCTCTGTCTGATATGAATGACCCTGATTGGGGACACTTTCCCAAGAAAGAAAATACTCATCAGTGAATCGGACACTGTTTCACTGCCAGCACATTGGCGGCTGAACAGAGTAGCTTCAGTTTTATTGTCTCAGCATGTGACAGGGAGCCGATTAAGCCTGCAGTACGGTTCTCCTACTCTCCCCTGTCACTCAATTGTTCGTTAGAGATTTATGCAGATTTAAATACATGGTGAATTTATTTTCCTTTACATTTTTTCAATTGTTCTATTGATTTATGAGGCAGCTCCTAGTTTCAAGTAGTATTCGACTATCATTACATTTTAATCAATTAACTAATAAAGTTTATGTAAGTTTTATTGGTGAGAGTTTATAACTTCTGCTGTCCTTACAGGAAGTATTTTTTTTTTTTGTCTGGAGTATTCAATGCTCAATGTAGGGTTACCCCCTTGTTACCCTCACTAGACAACCCCATCAGAACCCTTATTGCATATGGGGGTTCTGGTGTAAAACATTTTTTCAAATATTTCTATGCTAACGCTGAAACCTTATTCACAGGTGGGAGAGGGACCATATTCTTTAATGAAAAATATCAAAATAGATTTGTTACACAGCACAATATATAGATGTTTTAATATACGTCAGTGTTGAACAAAGCATCCATTGACTCCTTTTTTTGCACGGACTGCAAATAAGTAAATTTGTATAAACATTTACCCAAAGTTGAAAAATACAAATACAGAGTCCGAGCGTGTCACCCAAAGGAATCCCAAGTAACTCACAAAAACACCCGTGTGGCAACCTCTCTTATCCACACTTAAAACACAATAGAAATATATACATACATGATGGGTCCAGAATAACAGATTGTGGTGTAAATACAAATATAAATGGAATAGCTGTGAAAACACAATAGTAGACAGGCACCTAGTGCAATATCGTACAATATAAAAATGACACAATTCAAAGCCAATATGGTTGTACTCACAAGGAGAGAGCCAGAAATGTATGGCTCAATCTAGGCGCCCGTGGGATAATCAAAGGGATCCCACTCCCTTGGTATGTGTGGATGGTCCTCTGTTGTTTCCAATAAGGAATGTCCACATCAATTATTATGAAGAACTAAGTAACTTTTAATAATCAAACAAAAATAAAATATAAAAGTATGAATAAAATAGCAGCAATAAATAAGTCCTCTATGGGATGCAAAATAAGTCCTCTATGGGATGCAAGACGCGTTTCGCCTAAGTCCTAGGCTTCCTCAGTTGCAGTTGTTACCTTCTACTGGTGCTCTTTTATGTCCAGTGTGTTCGGTAAATTCCTCCACTTCGTGTTGGCGCGATGTTTCGATTTCCGGTCGCATGCCCGTGACGTACTTCCGGCTCACGACTTCTGCATTCAATCACTGTTGGAACGCATATGTGTTCCACTTGTATACAAGTGTGTTTACTTCCGGTCACGTACTTATGACGCACATCCTGTACGCCACTTCTTCATTCAAATCGTTTGTTGGAACGCATATGCGTAAAAGAGCACCAGTAGAAGGTAACAACTGCAACTGAGGAAGCCTAGGACTTAGGCGAAACGCGTCTTGCATCCCATAGAGGACTTATTTTGCATCCCATAGAGGACTTATTTATTGCTGCTATTTTATTCATACTTTTATATTTTATTTTTGTTTGATTATTAAAAGTTACTTAGTTCTTCATAATAATTGATGTGGACATTCCTTATTGGAAACAACAGAGGACCATCCACACATACCAAGGGAGTGGGATCCCTTTGATTATCCCACGGGCGCCTAGATTGAGCCATACATTTCTGGCTCTCTCCTTGTGAGTACAACCATATTGGCTTTGAATTGTGTCATTTTTATATTGTACGATATTGCACTAGGTGCCTGTCTACTATTGTGTTTTCACAGCTATTCCATTTATATTTGTATTTACACCACAATCTGTTATTCTGGACCAAGATACTCCACCCATCATGTATGTATATATTTACCCAAAGTTGCATATTTCAAACAAAATTTATGATTTTTTTTTAACACCTTAAGGACACATGACATGTCATGATTCCCTTTTATTCCAGAAGTTTGGTCCTTAAGGGGTTAAAGGTAAACTGTAAACTTTTTTTTTTCCCCACAACTGGTGTTTGCATTTTTAGGCTCCCATATTTTTGCATTTGAATGAATAGATTCAAGGTTATCCCTTCTGATGACAGTCACTCCTCCCCTCTTCAGAGATTGTAAAGGTGCGCAATGGGTCACTCATGGAATACGTCACCCACGGAATAGTCCAGGAATAAAGGGTTAAAGCATCTGGAGCACAGGTCGACATTTCTAACAGCAGGCAGAACAGATGGGAGCAGCACTGAGAGGAGCGGACGGAACATTAACGCAAGGAGAGGAGCACGGGGCAGACAGAGAACACAATGGCGGTGAGGAATGTGTGAAATAGCTGCAGCAAAAGGAGGAGTTGTTGCCACAGCACATGCACAGGAACTGGTAGGTGAAAATCTAGAGCGGTTATAAAAACATCTCGTTTGCAAATAAACTGTTAAATAAAGGCATTGAAGACATTGCCTTTACAGTGAATGTGTGCTTTTAACATCACAGAAATATCAGTTTACAGAAAATTACCCTCTCCAGAATAATATTCAGTGGGCACAATATTCTCATCCCAAATTATCTTCTCGGTGGGGTACAGAGGCATTTGGTTCAGCTGCTGGATCTGGGAAATACGACGCTCATGACGAGATACCTGCAACACAGATAAAGGGAGTAAGCAAACAGAAAGTCCCTGTGACTTCTCCATACAGTTTTATGTAGTAAGTGCGTATTTATTTATTGCAATATTGAGTGGCGAGGGCTCAATCTATGCAAATTTGTCCATCTAGGATTATTGATATTTTTGTTGATGGCTTTCTAAAGCATATTGATTGGGTTCCCACTGAGCAAAACAAGGTAAATTTAAGGAGGAGGAATCTGTTGCCTCTTCTGTTCAAATAACACAACAACTAGAAACAGTAATATAATAAACATTGAGCAGTATCAGATTGACAGAGCAGAAACAGGTACTGCTTGACTTTAATTGGTCACTCTTACAGGGACACTAGTCACCAGAACAACTACAGTTTATTGAGTATATTCTGGTAAATATAATCATTCCCTTCAGGCTTTTTGCAGTTAACACTGTTTTTTTTGCAGAGCAAATGCAGTGTTTACATTACAGCCTAGGAATAACTCCAGTAGCCACTCCTCAGACGGCTGTAAGAGGTGCTTCCTGGGGCAGTGCTGCACACTGTGCAGTACTGCCACTCAGTGTCTCCACCCTCTGCATGCAGACACTAAACTTTCCTCATAGAGATGCATTGATTCAATGCTTCTCCACGAGGAGATGCTGATTGGCCAGGGCTGTGCTTGGCGTGTGCTGGCTCTACCCGTGATCTGCCTCCTTAATAAGCTCAGCCAATGCTATGGAAAAGCATTGTGATTGGCTCAGAGAATCCCTTCTGATGTCAGTCAAGCAGGCAGATCAGGGGCAGAGCCAGCAGTAACTGGAATAAAGGTCAGATTTTACTATATTTAGGAGGGCAAGTAGCGGGCAGAAGGGCTAGATGGTGGTTTTAACACTATAGGGTCAGGAATATATATTTGTACTCCTGATCCTATAGTGCTCCTTTAAGTAAAAAGGTATTTTTATAAGAAATAACATGATGAGACTGTTTTGATATATATGCAGAAGTTAAAGGATCAACTTGAAGCAGAATAGCCACTATACTGAGCAGTAGTGGTTATGGTGGCAGGAGTGCCTTAGCGCCCCTCACTCCCCCCCACTGTAATTAGTAAAATCTGTGCTGCTTCCAACCTCCACTAAGTCCTGTTTAGGACTTCTAGAATCATGTGATTGCCCTCCGCTTATTATCCAAGCCTTGGTCTGAAGTAATGCTGTATGTATATACTGTATGTATTTAGGCAGCAAGCATAACAAAATGCATTCCCTGAATTAAAACAAAACGTAACGGGGGCGGGTCTTAACCGCAGAATCAAGCGGACGCCATTTTCCACAGCTCCGACGGCGCTCTGCACAATCCGATGAATATCTACAGATACACAACCCATCCAACAAAATCCACACCCCGGCGACTCCGGGTATCGGCACATGCCGTTCTTTGCTAATTCCGGAGCCGGGGACGGAAAAGGCCTGCAGCCTACCATCTCCCTTCACGCCTGGAAGATCTCCTGGGGCACATCACATCCCCATCCAGCACGACTCAGACAACAACTTACCGGCTGACCCGCCCTCAACCATGGGGAGACACTAACAGAAACTTCTACCAGGTACACCAAGCGAATCCCAAGACATTGGGGCTCTATTGCAACGCCAGGCCCTGCCCAAAATGGTGGCCCCAGAGAACCAGGAGGCCCCTGCAGACCCAAACACCTGACTGCCATCAAGCGCACACCCTGCCACAAGCACCAAAGCAAACAATTGCAGGCTTACCTGGCCACCAAGCAGGATATTAAAAATCTCAACTGAATTCTGCCTGAAGCTGGTCACGGACATAGCAGTCATCCAGGCTGACTTACAGGTGGTTACCAACAGGGTGAGAGCCACGGAAGAGGACATCATAGATATGAGGCGGGAAGTGACAACAGTGCAGGACTCCCTGCAAAACTTCCAAAAAACACAGCAAGCATTCACCATGCACCTCGCTACGCTGGAGGACCGTTCCAGGCGTAATAACCTGACGATAAAAGAGGGGTACCTGAGTCTGTCACCATGGAAGAAATGCCCCACTATCTAAGACGACCAACGGCCTCACTACTGCCACCGACACTAGCCAAAAAGCTCACTTTTGATGGCATGTTTCACCTACCAAAATCACCAAGGGCTCCAACAAGTGCAGTGAGCGATATAGTTCGCTGCGCCCTGGCTCAAGACAAAAAGGCACTCCTCTCAGCTCTACGAAACCAAATTCCTTACACATTTGAGGGTGCCGGCATGTCCTTCTGCCAAGACCTATCGAGGTCCACCTTGCAATGGCGCAAAACGCTCCTCCCAATCACAAGCCAACTGAGAAACACAGGAGTTACATACCAATGGACTACTCCACGAGCCCTCACGGTGACCCACACACAGCGGATCTGGCCACAAGATTACCTCAGCCAAAGAGGCACCTACACTGTTGCAGGCACTGGGACTGTCTGCCCTTGGCGAGGCGTCAAGAGACCGGAGAGGAACACTCACTAGGGACCCAACCACAGCAGTCCCCTTTACCCCACAGGATTGCATGACCACGAGCATCGGGACATGACTAAGCTCAGATACAAACGAGCAACAGGCAGCAAGGGGCTGCACTCATCCCACACCATTTCACCTTTGTTTAAACAGTTTTCTTTACTTTATGTTGTTCATCTGGCTAGACAAGGTTACCACAACCAAACTAGCCTCCATGTGTAGGAGTTGGAAAATACCGGTCCTCCATACAAGACCTTGAATGGAGGGGTGATGCTCCATGAGATAGGGATACATGGGTAGGGCTTTACACCATCCGCAACAGCTCCCTTGGCACTAACAGCTAGAATTGGCCCTAGCTCCCTTTGATGAAACACCACTATTATCTAAAACCCAGGACCGAAAAGCGAGGCTGATCAAAAGACTGAGGCACTCACTAACACCCACACCCATATACTTAAAGGACCACTATAGGCACCCAGACCACTTCAGCTTAATGAAGTCGTCTCGATGCCAGGTGCATCTAGGATTAACCCTTTTTTCTATAAACATAGCAGGGTCTCTTGACAGCCGCTAGAGGCGCTTGCGTGCTTCTCACTGTGATTTTCACAGTGAGAAGACGCCAGCGTCCATAGGAAAGCATTATAAATGCTTTCCTATGAGACTGGCTGAATGCGCGCGCAGCTCCTGCCACGCATGCGCATTCAGTCGATGACGTCGCTATGGAGGAGAGCTCCCCGCCCGGCGCTGGAGAAAGGTAAGATTTTAACCCCTTCCTCTCCCCAGAGCCCGGCAGGCACCCTCAGCGCACTATAGTGCCATGAAAAAGAGTATGTTTTCCTGGCACTATAGTGGTCCTTTAAGCACACAACAAGCTACACTACCACCCTTAATAGCTAACAAACTGCTAACACTCTATTAATAATAGCTATTTATGTATGTTATGGTTCAGTTATGATAACCTCAGTTCCCGCTCACTCCAACCCAGTTAAATAGCAGGCTTCACATAAAGAGAAGCACAGGTCGTAGCGTGTTGTCTCTAACTTGGACAGAGGTACCCGAGTAGCATTCCCTAGATTGACACGTAACTCCCTAGCAATACCCTCAGCTCAGGCGGCACTTGTGCCTGGTCTCGCATATTATAGCATACTATAACATCACAATGAGAACCCTGCCCGATAGGCAAATCAAACGTTTAATATTGTTGTTTTTGTGCAATGCCTGGCTCAGGTCAGAATCTCTTACCTATTGCTTGTACCACAAAAAAAAAGAAAAAGAAAAAAAAAAAAGGTGCATCTCTCTCAACATGCTCTGTACAGGCAAACTACTTTATCGCATTACCAATTAATGTCATGTTATTACTTGCAAATGTTATTTTCCTTGCACTGAAAAATGAAGAATTATAAAACAAATATAACAGCCATATGCTCCTACAGAGCGAGAGATTGCCTTTCTCCTTTCCTTGTTACTCACCCTCTAATCTTCCTGAATACAACAAACCACTCAGATACATATGCTTGGAATGATACTTCCAGGCAGAGTGTCTGAACACAAAACAGATTCTACAGGAAAACTAACAGGATTTAAACAAAATTATTGTAATTTACACCATCAGCATTTCTCGTAGTACTGCTGCGGCAGGAATAAAAGGAAGACAACACGCAGAATTAAACAGAGAAATAGGATTAGTAAGAAAGGTCTAAATGCACCTACCAGTAGCTCCAAGAGAAACTCTTTGTCATATTGGGTTTCCTCCCCTTCAGCCAGAGCTGGCAACAGACAGAGGTAGGATGCCACCTGGTGGAGAGTATTCGAACTGCAAAAAAAAAAAAAAGATAATTAAGCTCTGTTAACATGCTAAAAGAAAGTTCTCTTGCTAAGAATAATTATTCGAAACGCATTTCTCTTTTCTAACAGATTCCCCTCTATGACATCAATATGCAATATGTAATGCAGAGTGATGGTGAATTCAGTTTTGAAATGACTGCAAATTACTACCATGCAAATCTAAAACTGTCCACAACTCAGCACACCACAAAGGATCACAAAATGTGCAAACTGAAAAGATGATTAGAGCAGCGCTACCACTAAGGTGAACAGGCGGGCATTGGAGCAGTTAATCCTTTCACTAAAAAGTTCAATTCTAAAAAACAGGTTTTTTTTTGTGTGTGTCCTGGAAAGTAATGTGTAGATGTACTTTCATTACGGTATGCATAAACAGTGCATTGTTTTGTTGATTCTTGCATGGATAGTAAACATTTGAATAATTATTTCAACCGAATAATGAACTTGGAAAACATAGAACCCAAAAATACATGGAATAGCGCCTGTTAGCAACCTACACATCAACACAGATCGATCATACACGATAACGTGTACTAAAGATATTCCATCAAAACTGTGACATCTACACATTCATTTCAAATATCTTGTGTTTTATTATTATGATATTTATATAGTGCCATCAAATTCCGCAACGCGTTACAATGGGTGGACGAACAAACATGTAGTTGTAACCAGACAAGTTGGACACACAGGAACAGAGGGGTTGAGGGCCCTGCTCAATGAGCTTACATGCTAGAGGGAGTGGGGTATAATGACACAAAAAGGTAAGGATAGTATTAGACTAGTGACAGTTGCAGAAGAGGAATCAGTCAGGAGCTATTAACAGTTTAATTGATACGCTTTTATGAAAAAGTGGGTTTTTAACGATTTTTTGAAGGAGTGGAGACTGGGTGAGCATCTAACGGAGGAGGGAAGTGAGTTCAACAGGAACGGTGCAGCCCTCGAGAAATCTTGAAGGCGAGCATCAGAGGTGGGAGTACAGACAGAAGATAGACGTAAGTCTTCAGCAGATCGTAAGGGCCTAGACGGGACATACTTGTGTATAAGGGAGGATAGAAAGATGGGAGCAGCATTATGTTTTGCCAAAGGTAAGTCATGGAGAGACAACATTAAATCTTAAACCAAACCGCATGGCTTCAATGCTTGTGCCTAGCCTTGTAACTGTAGAACGCAAGAAGAGAGAACTCTAAAATTGAGTATCAGAATTCTATTAAATACTTTCCATCACACGGCAAGGAACATCCCACACAATTATTAGCATCACAAAGTTATATTCATAAAAGAAGGAATTGACAGGTTAGCAGTAGGGTGTCCACAATGTGCACACTATGCTATGATGTAGGTTAATGTGCTTACCTAAGAGGTCCAAAACATTTCACTAGAGATTCCCTAGTGTCCACAGCAGCTACATTAGACAATGCAAAGTTATAGAGTTCAGGGAAGTGTGCAAAGGCTGCTCTCTGCGGGTAACAACAAACAGACAAAACAGAATGAGTATGATCCAATAACATTTGTAAATGTAATATACATGTATAAATAAGCATTAAAATGTTTTCTTAATGTGTTCATAAGTAAACATTAACAGGAAATATGTTAATGAGCCGATGCTTGACCACCATACAAGTGAACTTTCTAAGAGGACATCTCCTTCATTACAGAAAATTCCAAATGTGCTTATTATATGTAAATATATATAGGACCTTACAATCTGGTTAAACCCTTCACCACTCTACACTGAAAATGTCAAAATGGACTGATTTTCATTGCCACATATGCAATGCTTTTAAATAGGCTAAGCCTTCATCGCCATACATAAATGGGCCTGTGCGTCTTTATCATTCTATATAGGATGGAAAGGTTAACAGATTACTCCAACAACTCAGACCACTGCAGTGATTTTAAGTGGTCATGGTAGTAGGAATCTGTATGTGCATCATTTCTGCTGGCTACAATACACATACAGAGTATTCTGCACTTGTGTGGCAGAGGCTAGTTACACCCACGGCACATGTGACTTTGGCTCCGTTCCGAGATTCTAAATGTCAATTCTGTGCATAAAATGCCTCATTAACGCACACAGCACACAAGCAACTGACATAAAGAGCTTTTTTTAATCCCCTGCCTACCTCCCAATAAAATAGCTAGTTTTTAAAATAAATAAATGCATTTCCCATTCCCAGCCCTTTCTATCTTCACTGGCTTAGATTGTGTGCATGCGCTCTCAGTCTGCAAAATCTGCACAAGACCCCGGCTGAACGGGGTGGGAAGGCAGCGCCAGGAGCTTCATCCAGAGCAGGACTACATGCAAGTAAAAATCTTTTTTTTTTTTTCAGGGTCCTCTCCACAGTGGAAGAGAAGCCTAATTAATAATGCCCAATAAGTGTTGTCGTAACCGTTAAGGCGTAGTTTAGGCAGGTCAAGTGTAATATAGGGAGTAACGGATAAAGGTAGCTTCTGATTATGCATTATTTTACACACACTTATTATAGACTGTTTCCTCCTTCTGCCTGTCCAACCTAATGGTTCCTTTAAAAATAAAGAAAAAAGAAAAAAAGAAAACTCTATAGGCTTTCCTGTGCTTTATTTAATTGCTCCTGGTCTAACTCTATAATCTACTTTTCTGATCATTTGTACTATCTTGCAAAACATCAAAGGTGCTAGTAAAATCCAATGGATGAAGCTCAGACTCACCTGCAGAGAGGTGATTCGATCATAGTGGATGGTCGTCATCTCGTTCTCTGTGAGAGCATTCCCAGTCTGGTCGTTGATTTCAAACCCAGTATAAAACTTCAACATTTCTAGAAGCTAGACAGAAACAAAGCAGGAACAAGATTACATGCTTTAACATTGTATTCCTCTTTTTCTATGGCCAGCTACCAAAACGACCATATATCATAGGCTATAACACCGAGAGTTACACGAACAAGGCCAGTCTATCAAAACGACCAGAGATCACAGGATATAACACCGAGAGTTACACGAACAAGGCCAGTCTATCAAAACGACCAGAGATCACAGGATATAACACCGAGAGTTACACAAACAAGGCCAGTCTACCAAAACGACCATATATCACAGGATATAACACCGAGAGTTACACGAACAAGGCCAGTCTACAAAAACGACCAGAGATCACAGGATATAACACCGAGAGTTACACAAACAAGGCCGGTCTACAAAAACGACCAGAGATCACAGGATATAACACCGAGAGTTACACGAACAAGGCCAGTCTACAAAAACGACCAGAGATCACAGGATATAACACCGAGAGTTACACGAACAAGGCCAGTCTACCAAAACGACCAGAGATCACAGGATATAACACCGAGAATTACACGAACAAGGCCAGTCTACCAAAGTAGATAGGTCTCCATCTTGTCCGGGTCTTACCTGCGAAAAAAGATGTCCTTCCTGCTCTCTCTTGCTGAGACCAGATAGGTAACAATGGACAACAAGATGAGAGTCATCTAGAACGGTGTTAAACCAGCGACGTGTCGGTAGCAAGGCCTGAGAAATGGGGACACAGAGAGCGTTATAGCAGAAATGAACACACACACTAAACAAAATGCTGACATATTCCTATGTCATGAGTGTAACTGTAGCTTGGGGTAGACTGCATATCCCATACACTCCTGCTTGGTAAACAACACTCCCCCCCAAAAAAATGACTTGTTAATGGAGCTGCAAGTTTAGGAACTTTGAAGGGAAGCACATGTTTGGTTTTTTTGTTAATGCATTATGCATATATTGAAAATTGAAGTAGTTAAGATATTAATTTGCTATTCTCATAGATTATGCATTAAAAAAAGCAAAGATTGTTTAGGATTGGGTGACCAAAATTAAAAAAAAGAATAATTTTAAAATGTATGAAAACAGCTACGTTTTATGTATGCACACAGTTCGGTCTCTGCTTTTAATTCTCTACCTGGCTGCACACCATCAAAGAAACTACAAACAGGCATTGTTTCCTTCCTCTAGGTCTATGAACATGCAAACAAAATACCAAAGCCTCTTAAATGAATTGAAGGTGTATTGATGTTTGGATTGTCTGTTTAAAGAGTGCACTTAACTTGACGTTCAACAAGCAAAACAGTTCACTCATCATCATCATCACAGGTAACAAGATTACCATGAGCAAAACTGCTGGACTCGGTGGAGGAGATTTATCAGGGTGTAAATGTTCTGAAAAATGTTGCAAAGTGCAGCAATCACCACGAAAACCTGCAGACTCTTTTCCTTCTTCGCATTACTTTTCAGTACAAGACACCTTGATAAACGTCTCCCAATCTTTAGTGAACAAATCACACAGAAAATATGTGAAACTTTTTGTATTGAAAAGCCATTAGAGGCTCAAAGAAAGGTGATATCTGCAGTAATTACACAGAAGGGAATACGGTTTGATGCCATCTCAATTTATATGGAGAAGAAAAAAGGAAATTGGCACAAAGGCCAAAAAAGGACAAAATTGGCATATTATTGTGGAAACCAAGACACAATGACAGATTCCCTCAGCCTAGTGATGTAACACACTTTACCTCTAGATCAATTATTAATTCTACGAAACGCTCACAGTAATGTACACTGTCCATGGATGCCGGCCCTGCAGAATAGAAGTGAAGATGACAATGAATGTATGTCACTAGAGAGTAACGGTAAATAATACAAAATCACGAGAAATTCAGATGTGCCAAAAATAAATAAATATATATATATATATATATATCTCTCAATATCAATCTTAATTGAAGATGCAAATCCAATTTGAACCTCAAAGAGAAATACAATACATATATAGTGTAAATCCGGTAATTATCTGGTATGGATGTAAAAAGAATAAAAAATTATTTGTATATTTATTTTTTTATGGCTACTATGCATTTATCTTTAACAGTATAATCTACCACTATATGTATTATTGCTGAGAAAGATTTCATTTATAGTTCATAACACTCTATAACACTTGCATATTGCTTTCAATTTGACTAATTATCAGCAAACAAGTAAATGCAGGCAATTCTTAATCTTTATTGGTAATGCAGGGAGTGAGGCGGTTTATTTTATCACATATTTATCCCTAAATCATGACTACTGCTTGAGCAGTGTGTAAGTAATCTACCCCAGTGATCAGACATCTTTATGGCTTCACTCCAATAAATTAACGCGATAGGTACAGTATTTTCCTGGTCACCTCTGAGGTGACCCGTATAAGAGAGATGACAATTACCTGAAGTTGCAATGGAACGGAGCACAGACAGGAACTTTTGAATGAGCTGCCAAAGAAATGTTCTCTCCCGGATGGCTCTGAAAGGTTGCAAGCAAGCATTAGCAAGGAGTATGGCTTAGAATGGTGTAACTTTAATGGCATACAAACTAAATAAACAACATGACTTCATGTGATAAAAACAAGGTTCCCTAAAAGAAGAAGTTTTTAAGGACTAGGCCAAGCTGGATCTGACGTCCTTTTATAATGCTGGATGATATGTATACACTGACCAGCCACAACATTAAAACCACCTGCCTAATATTGTGTAGGTCCCCCTCAAACTGCTAAAACAGGCATCAAGATATGGGCTCCACCTGTGGTACCTGGCACGAAAATATAAAGAGATCCTTTAAGTCCTGCAAGTTGCGAGGTAGGGCCACCATGGATTTGATTTGTTGTTCTAGCACGACCTACAGGTGCTCAATCGGATTGAGATCTGGGGAATTCTGGAGGACACGGCAACACCTTGAACTCTTTGTCATGTTCCTCAAACCATTACTTTTTTTTTCGTCTGAAAAGGCAGTGTTTGCATGAAAATGCCTGAAGGCAATGATTATACTCACCAGAAAAAATTTACATTAAGCTGTAGTTGTTCTGGTGACAATAGTCTTCCTTTAATTACCTAAAACTACTTGTGGATTGTTATTAAATGCACATACGGCAATGTGTGAATATTGGGAATGGACTGTGGGATACATACACTTCATGTGCCTTTTTGTCCAACTTCTCATCAGTTTTCTTTATCAGGTTCCAGAATTTTCTCAGCTTTTGTGTTTTCTTCAGCTCCAGTTCCAGGCGAGGCTAAAAGAGTGAAAACAGCATTTGGGACTTTCCGTAGCCACATCTAGGCAATGATAGCCCACCAATGTGGCTCCTGGCCATTTGATTATTTTTGGGTGCTGCAAAATGCAGTCCAGCGATGGTCTAGAGCAGTGTTCCCTAACCCAGTCCTCATGGCCCACCAACAATCCAGTCTTTGTGTATTTGCCTGTTTTATTCCAATGGAGATACTAACAAACCCATGGCTGTTGGTGGGCCATGAAGACTGGGTTGGGGAACACTGGTCTAGAGCTTCAGCCTCAAACAAGCACACAGTATAAACATACAAAATCATCAAATATATCAGTACAATAGCTTCAGGTTATACAATATCCAGACATCCTGCTATACTACATATGATTTCGCTAAAGGCTTAACAAAGAAATGCTACGCACCACTAAGATTTTTTGTTTTCTAAGAACGTGGCTATTTCCCCCTAAAATTAACAGATTCCACTCACTGTTTAAAGGGGAAAAAAACAACAAATTTAACTTACTGGTTGCAAACACATCCACATAGGGAGTGATATAAGCTGCTGAATCTGTCCACGGATTAAATCAACTTCCTGAAAAACAAAAACAAACAGACTCAGAGGGCGATCCTGTGATTAACCCCTTAAGGACGGAGCCAAATGTACACATTGTGAACAAAACAAAATGTAAACAAAACCTTGCATTTGCGCTACATGTCTGTCCAACCGTAATACACCTCTTTCATAGTAAATGCACCCACCCTTATTATATATCATTTTATTCAGGGGAAACAGGGCTTTCATTTAATATCAAATATTTAGCTATGAAACATAATTTAATATGAAAAAAATGGGAGAAAATACGTTTTTTTTGGATTTTTTTAGTTCTACATTATATTTTAACGGTCAGTGTCATAATACTGTTTGCTTTTACTGCAATAAAATACACATATTTATATTCAGTAAAGTCTCACGTGTAAGACAGTACCCCCTATGTACAGGTTTTATGGCGTTTTGGGAAGTTACAGGGTCAAATATAGCACGTTACATTTGAAATTGAAATTCGCCAGATTGGTTACGTTGCCTTTGAGACTGTATAGTAGCCCGGGAATGAAATTTACACCCATAATGGCATACCATTTGCAATAGTAGACAACCCAAGGTATTGCAAATGGGGTATGTCCAGTCTTTTTTAGTAGCCATTTGGTCACAAACACTGGCCAAAGTTAGCGTTAGTATTTGTTTGTGTGTGAAAAATACAAAAAAACACACCAATTTTGGCCAGTGTTTGTGACTAAGTGGCTACTAAAAAAGACTGGACATACCCAGTTTGCAATACCTTGGGTTGTCTACTATTGCAAATGGTATGCCATCATATGGGTAATTTTAATTCTTGGGCTACCATAGGGTCTCAAAGGCAACGTAACCAATCTGGCGAATTTTAATGTGAAAAAAATGAAACGCAAGCCTTATATTTGACGCTGTAACTTTTGAAAACACTATAAAACCTGTACATGAGGGGTATTGTTGTACTCGTGAGACTTCACTGAACACAAATATTTGTGTTTCAAAACAGTAAAAAGTATCATAGCAATAATATTGTCCGTTTAATGCTGTTTGTGCGTGAAAAATGCAAAAAACGTAACTTTTACTGGCGATATCATCGTTGTAATACATTTTAATGTTTTGAAACACTAATATTTGTGTTCAGCGAAGTCTCCCGAGTAGAACAGTACCCCCCATATACAGGTTTTATGGTGTCTCGGAAAGTTATAGGGTTAAATATAGTGCTAGCAAATTAAATTCCCTTTACTTTCGGCATGGGTTGTCAGGCAGGTCCTGCTAATTGTAATTAATTAAGATACCTAATTATGTAAAAATATTACATAAATATATATGTAGAATTAATATATGTATATATACGTATGTGTATATATATGTATATATCTATATAATTTTTTTAAAATATTTTTATTTATATATAGGTATATATATAGTGATATATACGTATATATTTATGTATATAGATATATATATTATTTAGTTCTACGTGTATTTTGATATATATATATATATATATATATATATATATATATATTAATTTCACAATACAGTTAGAGCGAAATAACACACATCTATATATTTTTAATTATTTATTTTTAATTATTTTTTTAATTTTATTTTTTAACGTATTTACATTTTAATTTTAATTTGTTTTATAATATATATAAATATATATATAACAATAATTATATATATATTTAATCAGTATCAGTCTACGTGTAATTTGATATTAATATATATATATAATTATATATATATTAATAGTAAAATACACCTAGACGGTGTATGTGTGTGTATGTATATGTGTATATATATACTTAGATCATATATATATATAATATATATATATGATCTAAGTATATATAATTTTTTTTTTTTACACCATTAACTTATTTTATTTTTATTTCCAGCCAGCAGGGGGACCACCTGTAATTACAGGCAGCCCCCCTGCCGGCAATACAGAAGCCAGCTATACCCGGCCATGTGATTGTGGGGTCCTCGCTAGGACCCCACTCTCACATGGCCGGGGGGCTTCAACGAGGACGGATGTGCCACGGGGGGCTCCCTTGGAGTCCCCCCCACCGCGATCGCCGGCGTGGGACCGCCGGCGACCGGGTAAGTTAACAAAAACCGGAGGGCGTACAATTACGCCCGGCGGCGTTTAGAGCCGCCTATTAGAGGGCGTAATTGTACGTCCTCCGGTTTTAAGGGGTTAATCTGCATTGTGTTTGTGTGTGCACAATAACATTTGTACCAAGATCAAACCAAATGGAGTTTCACCGTCTAAGTATCACCGATTTATTTACACAGTGCAGCTATAGCACTAAAACACGTTCCTTCCTCATTGGCAAACTGAAGTCATATTGGTCTATATCCATTATAATTGCTGTCTATACAGTGTGCATTTATATACACAATAATTGAGCACAATTAAGCTAACTATTCCAACACTGTGGCTTACTTTGAACTGTTGTGTTTGTCAACATTACTTTATACATAAAAATATGTTCATTACACTATGCTGACATTTAGTGCTTACAATACGCTCTGTTATGTAACGAGCATTGTCATGATGTATACTTTGTTTCTCTGTGAAATTAGTAAAAATAAACAAAATGCAGTTAGTCACCAACGGACAGCACAGAACCATCACATTTATCAGAGATCAGCAATTTGTTTTCAGTAGCATCACTACCTTCCTAAGAAAATCAGAGACCCTTTCCACATTGAGAAGAATCGAATGAAAGTGTTGTTATATACTACATTACAATGGAAGAGCTAATATCATGTATATAATTTGTGTTCCTGTCAAAAAGAATCACTGCACTAGATACAATCCCTGTTTAATTAGAATTTAGATTACTGGCAATAGTTTTAAACAGAAAGCACATAAAGTATTAACCATGGTATCAGACATTTCTGTCCCGGCAGAATACAATAATGTGTAGTTATTACAACTGTGAACTAATCCTATTCTATTCTATTGTGATACTATTGCGGTATTGCATATTCTACTGATTTGAAACGGTTATAAATGCAATGATATCAGAAAGTTAACATTATCTTAACTAGAAAAGTGTGTTGCTGGGTTTGCCAGTACCAGAATCATCAATCTGACCAGCTACATGGCAGGTAACATTTATATGAAAAGCTGCTTTAGCCTTCATTAGTGTTTTTGCATAAGATCTTGGAACGTTATAGGAACACTCCAGGAACCATTACCACTACAGCTCTATGTAGCGGTTATAGTGTCAGGAATGCATTGGTGTTCACCCATTGTAAATAGTCAAACTGTGTTAGAATGGTCTGATCTCTTAGTCTGCCAAGTTGTGCTTACCGCCTCTCCTAGTTTACTGGCTGAGAGCGTCAGCTAATTGCACCCCTGGCTTATCTCAGTTACAGAGAATCTAGCTCTCCATTGGAAGCAGTGGAGGCGGGGAGCGGCTCTTGGCGGACCCCTGGTAAGAGCTGAGACCATTCTAACATTTTAAAATGTTTTGAATCTTTACAATGGGGTGCACCAGGGCACTCCTAGCACCATAACCACTATAGCACACTGAAATTGTTATGGTGCTTGGAGTGTCTCCTTAACTGTAGACAGAAATAGATGGTTACCAGGCTGTTGAAGCAGTGATCTAGAAAAAGCAGTAGGATCGTTCGCTCTTGCAAGGAGAAGTCACTTTTTGCCTCTTCGGCTACAGAAGCTTCCATTATACTCTTGAAAAAGAAAGGGAAGTGCTGTGGCCTCTTCTTGAAAGTCTGGGAACAAATGAGAAAGCAAATTCAATCACAACATTAACCAGAAGAACAGAAGTCTTTTCAATCACATCAATAGCAAGGAATGGACATGAACATCTGCACGTAGAACTCAACAGACTTCTTCCTCACCTCCCAAGCTGGGACGTTCTCCCGGAACTTCTCATTTACCATGCAACAGATAGACATCAGGTAGGGCCTGCTGGACACCTCAGGACTGTAATTCAGCCACAGGTAGTTCTCCAAGTACTGGCTGTGACAACATCATATGGACAATTCAGTTTAGTTAAAAAACGTAGAAAAACAGCAGGATGCACAACAGGGTGAATGTCTTCTTTACATACCATATTGACATATATTAAAACAATAAGGTTGGTGCATATAGGTTCATTTAAATCAGCCAAGTTAAGTTAACTGTAGCCTGCAATTATGTCAGGTAAAAAACTAAACAAAACCCCTGCTGTATAGCCACTTAGGAGAGAAAAACACACACACACGCTCCCTATAGTGGTGTTACTGGAGAAAAGAAGGCAAAGGCTGAAGGTTGGCATGGGCAGGAGGGAGAAGGGGCAGAACTGTATAGAACAAAACTTATACATAGCATGTGCAAATTAATCCATCATGTAAAAATCTGATCTCCTGAACTCTGGTACAGCATTTAAAAGATTAAAGTAGGTTTACGAATACATTAATAAGGTATTGGGACAGCAAGTTCATTCACTTCTTTCAATAACTCTCTCTAACTCACTATAATCGTGGCTGAGAGTTTGAGCAGAAACATCAGTAATCTGCCAATAGTGAGACGCGCCATGTATGTGGTTTAAACGAGAGAGAGAGCGGCTAGTTTATCCATTTTTCTTGTGATCGTAGCAAGGACAGGAGCAGTAATTACTGGTAAATGATGCACCGTTGTTATAGCACTCACGATTACACATAGCTCACTGGAACGCATGTCCTGATTGGGTAAATTAATGCTCAGAAGTAAAAACTTAATAATGAACTCACCTGAACTCCAACAGCATTATCCGCCTGATAGCAAACCTGCAGAGAAACAAATTGTATCATTTGGGGGATCATCAATGTTGCCAATAAGGAGGAAAAAAGATAATGCATAGTACTTAAACGAGGAACAGTTCAAAATGTGCAAAGATAAGTTCATTGTACTTAAAAGGTAACTCCAAGAACCATGACAACTTCAGTGATTTAAGTGGTCATGCTGCATGGGGTCTCTATGTGCAGTGTTTTAGTATGGAAATGGAATTTAACCTATTATGCAAATGGAGTTTAACCCAGGGCTCGACAAATCCCAGGCGCCAGGTCCCTATGGCGACTACAAATTTTGTCCTGGTGTCTGGGATTTGTTAACCTTTTACCTTAAGTGACCGGCTAGGCACACAATGAAGCTGGCTGCCCGTCTGCGGGAGCATGGAGGTGGCCAGCTCAGGGAGCGTAGTAGTTTCCCAAGCTGGCCGCCTCCATACAGCACATGGCGGCCGGCTTAGGAAACTTTATAGCCAGCCGCTTTGGGCTGTATGGAGAAGGCAGACCTAGGGATGGTGCAGGCGGCAGGCTGGGGGAGCATGCGAGTGAGCAGTGATCTTCCTGCAGCTCCTCTCTGCTCCCTCGCACTGTGTAATGATGCCAGGAGTCTGAATATGACGTAATTCCAGCCCCAGCATCACTTAAGACAGTGCGAGGGAGCAGAGAGGAACTGGAGGTTGATTACTGCTCCCTCGCACACAGGAATAGCAGCCCCACTGGATCCCAGGGAAAGTCCACTCAGCTCTCCCAAAGGTAGGGAGGCTGGGTGTATTATAATTAAAAATATAAATGTGTGAGTGTTAGAGAAAGTGTGTGTATGTATGTATGTATGTATGTATGTACCTGTGCCAGTGTGTGTGTGTTTAGGTACCCGCCCCCCTCCGATCACATTTTTTTCCACGCCGTGCTGGTTTCGCCGTTGCTTTACCCGCCTCCATAGATGAGATCTTAATGATCTCAGCTAAGCCATTGCTTTCCCATAGGAAAGGATTGAAAGGATATTACGCACGTTCTCTTTGGGTAACTTTCAGCAACTCCATGCAGAGCACTGACACAGTGGCCATCTGAGTGACTGTCACTAGAGGTCTTAGAAGGCAGCAATGTAAACACTGCCTTTTCTCTGAAAAGGCAACGTTTATATTGAAAAGGTTACAGGGACAGGCTATAGGCACCAGAACAGCTACATTTATCTGTAGTGGTTCTGGTGACTATAGTATCCCTTAAGAAAAACTGGCTCCTAACTTTTTTAGCTGACTCCTAGATTCCAAACAAATTTGTTAAGCCCTCCATTTGCTGCCAGAGGTGTAATTCCGGCAGCATCAAAGGGGTGTCACAAGCCACCCCGGAACATTGATTCAATGCATCTCTATGAGGAGATGCTGACTGGCCAGGGCAGTGTTTGGCTCCTTGGCTGAGATCATCAGAATTGACAAATCTCAGCCAATCCAATGTTTTCCTATAGGAAAGAATTGTGATTGGCTGGGATCATCACTTCTGAGGATGTCAGCCAAGAAGGTAGATCAGGGGCAGAGCCAGCACCAACAGACTGGAATAAAGGTATGATTTTACTATATTTAGGTGAGCAAGGAGCGACCAGGGGGGCTAGATGTAGACATGTTTGTGTTCCTGACCCTATAGTGTTGCTTTAAAGAGACTGCAACACTTAGCTATTGGACTGTAGTCTCAATCACCCAGTAGGGCGTTTGATTCTAGTAACGGTTATAGGGTCAGGGCTGTCAAGATAGGAAGCAGGAAGGGGAATGTAATAGCAAATGACCCTGCACAAGCAATTAAGGTGCAAACTGAGATAAAGGATAGAGAACAACACAAACATTTCCATTTTATAAATGAACATACCTTGATTTGGAAATTTCCTTTACATATATATCTTCAATTACCTGTTAAAAAAATAAAAATAAAAAAACTGTATGGGCTTTTTATCAATGTAGAGAGACGAGTGAGAGGGGAAAAGTACTCAGAATGTGCTCTGCTGTTCAATCATAAAATCATTTAAAGATTACCAACAATATTTCCAGCTACCTTGGGCCATTATGGAGAAAGGCTCTAGGTTATAAAAATACATTGTCTTACCTTATAATCAAAGGGCAATTTCTTCTTTGAGTGTGGAGCCCAGTATGATTTAGCCAACTGAATGGAGAAAGAACATAATCCAATTTAATGACTTTGCTTTTGTCTTTTCACTTAGATTATAGACTAGCGTGATACAATTCTCTAAAAGGTAAGCCGACAACCAAGTTGCAAAACTAAGGACAAAATTAGACAAGTTTAGGGGGGTACGGTTTTCCTTCAACTAAGCAGTGCTGAGAATCATAGCAGTTGCAGTTAACAGCGTCTAGAATGCTAGAAATAGAACTCCCATAATAGATAAGATGGGCGATTTATAGTTTGGCAGAGTTGAACTTTGGAATTGTTCCTAGCTCCGCAATTCCTGGATACATTTTGCAATCTGCGGTGTACCAAACAATTAGGGCTTGCATTCACTACCTGAACAAAAAGGGGAAAAAATTGAGACCTAGAGAGGAAATTAAAGCTGTGGACTGCTCGGCCTTGCTGAGAATGATGACAGTTGCAGAATGTTATGCCATGCTTTCATAATCTTACATTGCTCCAGATGTCATGAACTGCACATTCTATCGTTCTCAGACAGACTCTCCCTTGATGAGACGAATATTAGCTGCAGTCCACAAAAGGTAAAGTCCATGGTGAGAATGAAATGAGATGGAAACATCTCCCATACAACATATGAAAGTATAATCACCTTAAGCCTTCTCATAAGTCTAATCCATAGTGTTTGCTATGCCATCATAGATGGATATGAAATATACCCCTTCAAAACCAACAATTTAATGACTCACTTTTGATGTGTGCTGCGGCTCTAAAATCACTCAGGGGGAGACGTATACAAAAGCAAGAGCAGCGGGGGCAAAATTGGTGACAACTGATGGCACGCCAATGTCCCTGTAAATGCTCCTAGAGCTATTCTAAGTGTCCATCTCTAAACTACGTGCTATATTTCACCAGTGTCCTTCTCAGTGCTCCTAGTGCCATCCACCAGTGTCCCTCTAAATGCCCATCTTCAACTATTCCATCAGTGTCCTGCTAACGGTTTCTTTTGCTTTACTCAACTATTGTCCCTATAACTGCATATTTCACATTATCCCATACTAACGAATATGCTTTAGTTTTGCACTATGATACCGTGTATGTTTATTATTTAGGTTAGCATGTCCACATAGTGACTATACATTTTATTATATTCTCATTTATTCTGTAAATTTTCTATTTTCTACATGGACAGGCAGACTACTTTATGCAGTATTTCACATATGTACTTGTTTAAAATTTCAAATAATTTTCTCACTTTATGCATTATTCTGCCATTGTTCCTCTTCCTTCTCTTAACATTATTCTTCTTGAGTCCCTCTCCCTGTTCCTATCACCACTGTGTCAGAGGCCCTCTCCGTGTTCCTATCACCACTGTGTCAGAGTCCCTCTCCCTGTTCCTAGCACCATTGTGTCAGATTCCCTCTCCCTGTTCCTAGCACCACTATGTCAGATTCCCTCTCCCTGTTCCTAGCACCATTGTGTCAGAGTCCCTTTCCCTGTTCCTAGCACCACTGTGTCAGAGTCCCACTCTCTGTTCCTAGCACCATTGTGTCCGGGTCCCTCTCCCTGTTCCTAGCACCATTGTGTCCGGGTCCCTCTCCCTGTTCCTAGCACCATTGTGTCCGGGTCCCTCTCCCTGTTCCTAGCACCACTGTGTCCGGGTCCCTCTCCCTGTTCCTAGCACCATTGTATCTGGGTCCCTCTCCCTGTTCCTAGCACCCATCTGTCAGTCCTTCTCCCCAATCATAGCGCTCTTCTGCCAGAGTCCCTCTCCCAGATTGTTGCGCTATTCTGACAGGGGCTGTTTCCCAGATTATAATAGCACCATTGTGACAGGGTCTCATCCCTAACCATAGTTATTCTTCCGGGGGAACAACTATGAAAATTATCAAGTTACTTTCTCTATAATATTTAAGGGTAGTAATTTCTGTATACAATCTGAGGGTATGTTTTAATTAAGTGCAATTAGTCTGCTTTGTCTCCTTCACACTCATGTTATATATTTTAGGTTTCTCACAACTATTTCCGTTTCTTTGGTGTATACGTCTCAGGTTTCGCAGTTAGCCTGAGTAGAAGGCACTCGATAGTAAGTTATCACACAGCTTTGCCCTTTATTCTAGTCCAGGGTAGGCAACCTTTGGCAACTCCATATCTTAAGGACTACATCTCCCCTGAGACTTTGCCAGCATTATGGGAAATGTAGTATTTCCCATCTGGAATGCTGACAGTTCTGTTTCCAGTCCATGAGTTATATCTACTGCAGGGCAACAATTTTCATTCACTACCAAACAGCATGAAGCAGTAAACATGGTGGAGCTGGTAAACCCAATTATTTGCCAGGCCCAGCCCTCCTTGGGATGCCTGTTATCCCCCCCCCACAAATGGCATACCTGGTATATCTCTTCCCCCCCCACCCCCCATATGGGATGCCTGGTATATCTCTTTCCCCCATATGGGATGCCTGGTATATCTCTTCCCCATATGGGATGCCTGGTATATCTTCCCCCCAATATGGGATGCCTGGTATATCTTCTGGGATGCCTCTTCCCCATATGGGATGCCTGGTATATCTCTTCCCCATGGGATGCCTGGTATATCTCTTCCCCATATGGGATGCCTGGTATATCTCCCCCCCTCCCCATATGGGATGCCTGATATATCTCCCCTCCCCATATGGGATGCCTGGTATATCTCTTCCCCTATGGGATGCCTGGTATATCCTTTCCCCATATGGGATTACCAGTATATCTCTTTCCCCATATGGGATGCCTGGTATATCTCTTCCCCCCCATATGGGATGCCTATATCTCTCCCCCATATGGTATATCTCCCCCTCCCCATATGGGATGCCTGGTATATCTCCCCCTCCCCATATATGGATGCCTGATATATCTCCCCTCCCCATATGGGATGCCTGATATATCTCCCCCCTCCCCATATGGGATCTCCCCTCCCCATATGGGATGCCTGATATATCTCCCCCTCCCCCCATATGGGATGCCTGGTATATCTCCCCCCTCCCCCCATATGGGATGCCTGGTATATCTCCCCCCGGTCACTATTATGGCAGTGAGTGAGTGAGTGATGACAATCCCACATGGACTGACAGCCTGGGCAGCTCCCTCACCTGGGTGACAAACTCTGCATTCATCTGGGTCACTGTCGGGGCGGTCACCTTCCTGGGGGCCGGCTGCCCAGCGGTCCGGGTCTCCATGGTTCCGGTAAACCCAGAGAGCCGAGAGACAGAGCGAGGTGGCCGAAACGCACACAGGGCACCTGCACCGGAAGTGCTCTCACATGCAACCGGGACGTGACATCATCCAGAAGCGACGAGGGGAGAGGAGGGAAACCAATGCCACCTAGTGTGAGAAAGAGGGAACTGCACGCATTAGCCTGTACAGGATGACAGGCAGCCACTAAGCAGGACACTGCTGAAGCCTGGGTGTACCTGGGTGTGCCTGGGGTTTAATGCCCTGAAATTCACACAGACTGGGGCACAACAGCAGATTAGAAAATAAAACTAAAAAAAATATATAAATATGTATCATACCTCCAAAGTGCTCCTATTTAGGAGGGACAGTCCCTATTTTGGACCAAAATCCTTCTGCCCTCATTTCTTTTGTAATTTGCTTGTTTTCCAGGATCTTTATTTTATTGTCATGTCTGAGTGTATAACAGAGCTGTACAAGAATAATACTCACAGTAATATGTCCTTGAACTTCAATACATTTGTAAAGACTGTGTAAATAAAATATTGTTCTTGCTCTCAATTATTTTTTAGTTGTTGCGATTAGTAATTAAAATTTCTCAAATATGTGGCCATATCGTATCAAGCCCACCGCTACTCCACAATTTGTTTCCTACACTAGAATTAGTGTAGAACCTAGCGATATTGGGGTACTGTGGCATAATGGTGGGCTTGGTACAATATGGCCATATGGCGGAATTGAATCCCTCTTTGGCAGCACCGTTGCTGAGAAATGCATGTTCTAGGAGTGTCCCCAATTCCTTTTATTTTACTTATATTTACTAGACACAATATGTCAAGTATACCCACTCTGATTGTATCCTGTGTCCTCACATACTGCTGACGTGTATTCTAAACAGTAAAGAAAAAGAAATATGAACCAGATCAGTTAGAATAAACAAAGTTTATTGCAATTTTAAAGTTTGCATGTTTTATCAACAGACTACATATGAGTTGGATATAAATATAACAGAAATCCTGTTATTTATATAACATTATATGCAGTGTGAATGAACCCTATAACTAAAAATATTTGTAGTTATGACAACATAGTTGCAAAATCTTGGTCAAAATAGACATACTAGAATTTTTTTTTTTAATTCCGTAACATTTTCCAATTCAGCGGTCAACTAATGCAAACTCACAATTTAGTTTGTAAACTCATCAATACACTTGGATTAGGATTTGGTTTTTAGGTGGATTGGTAAAAAAAAATATAAGAACATGGACAGTTGTATATTGGACATAAAGGATGTTTAAGGAGATTTGTAAATATTCTGCAAATAGAAAAGTGGGTCACTATTCTACAAATGGATCTCAGTGAATTGATCACCATTCAACATTTTCTGGTGATATACATAAACAAATATGGTAGAGTAGAGGATCAATTACAGATATGGCAGTGCAGAACAAAATGTCAGTGTTCTCTGGACCTTTATTACGTAAAATGTTCATATAAAAATACAGCTCTAAAAATCTTACGTTTGTGGAATAATTTATTCTGAAATCTTCAGTTCTGTTTATTAGCTCAGCCCAATATAAAACTGACTTTTCCTGTGACGTAAACCTACAATGTTGGAGTCTGTCACTAAACTGGGATTTGTAAAGGATCAAAGCAAAGGCATAATTGTATTAACAGAATTTGAAATAAACATTCTCCGCCTCATCAATTTCCCGGGCTTTGATTTTTTTAGGATAAAATATGCAATTATCTTGTTACTTCTGCACAATTCCTGGTTTAGTAAATAAACGGTTTGCATTTTTCACTTGAGAAAGCAATATGTGATAGCTTTGTAATAGCTTTATTCACTAAATAAATAATCCTGGTGAAAACATGCAGGGCTATTCAATAAAATAAGAACTCGAGGAGAATTTAAAGTTAATGTCAAATTCAGGTCAAAATAGTCGAACTGGAAACATTCTTTATGCCAGCTAAGCTTTCAGTTTGGTTACTCTGGCCTTAAAAGTTGAAAGTCTCTTTGAATTCTCACTTTTTGTGAATAACCCTATAGCTCATATTCCTTTATTTGGGCACCTCTGCAATGTTATATAGATCTCTGTAACAGTACATGTAAAATGTGACCTATACACAAATGTATAGACAATAGGATCAATCACCAGCTAATAATATGATCTGTTACTGAAACACCAAATTTTAGCTACAATAAACCTGAAAGCTCAGGCAGAGATCAGCAAAGAATGATAAGAAACATTGTTCTTAAGGCCTGACAAGTTCTGCCAAAAAAAGCCCTGATTACTTCTACATTTATGAAATTAAAGGGACATTCTACAACAGAAGTGCTCAAAAGGTAGATCCCCAGATGTTGAAGAACTACAACTCCCTTGATGCGTTGGATGCCTCTACAATGACAAAGCATCATGGAAGCTGTAGTTTTAAAACATTTAGGGACTTACCTTTAGGGCACCCCTGCTCTAGACACTATAACCACTTCATTTAAAGTGTTTTGAAAGTAGCCACACAGTAAACATACACCTACCTGGAGATGAATTTGTCATCGACGTGCTTAAAATCTGTAGGAGTTTTAATGTAAAAATGAGCCATTTCAATGAACACATAAGGAGAAATCATTCCTCATATTTTAATGTGTTATAAGATAAAGCATTAAAATATCCAAATAAATCTAAAAAAAAGGGAAAACTATAATTCTTTAGTTCATAAAGAGGTGTCCAGCAAGTGGTTATGGGACTAGTAGTTTATGCACAGCTGCAGTCCCAGTCATCACATCATAGGAGAGAACTGTAACAGCTGAATGGATTTTTACAAAGCCCTACAGTTATCAGTCACTCCGGGAAGGAAGACACGGGGCTGGGTGCTCTCCGTACAATATCAACGGTTATTTGTGAAATCACAGATTGCAGCACATTGAAATCCAAAAGTAAAATGTTAAGCTACAATAGCAGAGTCAGAAAAAATACTTTAAATCAGTTAAAATCACAGTTTGGCTATTTAATCTTAATTTGTACCTTCTGGTTTAATTTGCTTAAGTTATAAGTTTTGTTTTTAACCTTAAACCTATTTTCATAAACGCAAAATGTCTATCCATTGTACTGAAACAAACAAGACGGGGCAGACACTGTAACTGCTTCATCATTGAAATGGTTATAGTGAGGAAAAATAGAAGAGAAGTCCAGGCACTCTCAGGATACAAAAAGGCAAATTTATTGAACCCATGGCAACGTTTCGACCTACACGGTCTTTGTCAAGCCACCTACACAAAGACCGTGTAGGTCGAAACCTTGCAGTGGGTTCAATAAATTTGCCTTTTTGTATCCTGAGAGTGCCTGGACTTCTCTTCTATTTTTCCTCATTGAATACTTGGTTCCTGGTACTGGTACTGGTGCACCCGGATACATTTCTAATGGGTTTGAGTGCAGTTCCACATTCTTGCTACATTATATTGAAATAATATTAGAGTCTGGAGTCCACTGGCGCCCTCCTTTCATTCAGCATTAACCATTTTTAATGCTAAACAAAAGTTCTCATTTAAAGGACCACTATAGTGCCAGGAAAACATACTCGTTTTCCTGGCACTATAGTGCCCTGAGGGTGCCCCCACCCTCAGGGTCCCCCTCCCGCCCGGCTTTGGAAAGGGGAAAAGGGGTTAAACTTACCTTTTTCCAGCGCTGGGCGGAGAGCTCTCTGCCTCCGTTCCTCCCTGTCGGCTGAATGCGCGGCAAGAGCTGCGCGCGCATTCAGCCGGTCACATAGGAAAATCACAGTGAGAAGCACGCAAGCGCCTCTAGTGGCTGTCAATGAGACAGCCACTAGAGGATTGGGGGGAAGGCTTAACCCATTCATAAACATAGCAGTTTCTCTGAAACTGCTATGTTTATGAAAAAATGGGTTAACCCTAGCTGGACCTGGCACCCAGACCACTTCATTAAGCTGAAGTGGTCTGGGTGCCTAGAGTGGTCCTTCAAGGGAAACTACAGCGCAGAACCCTTTTGTCACTTACCTGAATCCAGCACCGTTGTCCCTGGGTCTTCCTGAAGGACTCTAGTCATCAAAACAACTTGAGCTGAATGAAGCAGTTTTGGTGTACAGATCATGCCACTGCAGTCTCACTGCTCAATTCTATGCCATTTAGGAGATAAATCACTTTGTTTATGCAGCCCTAGTCACACCTCCATGCATGTGACTTGCACAGCCTTCGAAACACTATCTGCACCTAATGGTTGCACTTTCTTTATTGCAAATTCTGTTTAATTTAGAAATTCTTATCTCCTGCTCAGTCAATAGCTTGCTAGACCCTGCAAGAGCCTCCTGTATGTAATTAAAATTCAATATACAGAGCAGGAGATAAAAACTTTTAAAGTAAGTTAATATCTGATTGAAAAATAAAAACCTTTTTCTCTCCATGAAAGTTGTGTAAGTCACAGCCAGGGGAGGTGTGGCTAGGACTGCATTAACAAACAAAAGTGATTTAACTCCTAAATAGCAGAGAAGTGAACAGTGAGACCTCAGAGGCATGATTTATACATAAAAACTGCTTCATTAAGCTAAAGTTGTTTTAGTAACTCTAGTGTCTCTTTAAAAACCTGTTTAAACACTTACCCGATTCCAGTGCCGATTCGCCTCGGCGCTGGGTCTGAGTTGCGATGTCACCCGACAGGGGGCTATTGCGCATGTGCAACGAGCACAGTGAGCGCTTTAGGCCATCCTCATAAAAAAGAATTGCTTCAATGCTTTACTATGGGGATTTAACTGACACTGAATATCCTCATGCAGATCGGGAGAACGTCCAGCGTCAGTTAGGCGACCAAAAGTTTTTCAAAATCTGCAATGATTTACATTGCTGGATTAAGTCGGACAGGGACAGTGCACCTAGACCACTTTAATGAGATGAAGTGGTTTGAGTGCCTATAGAGCTCTTATAGAACATATATATATATATATATATATATATATATATATATATATATATATACACACACACACACACACCACCTCCCTAAATCACAAGTTCTTAATTGTTGACCCTGGCTCCTATATATGTTTAGACTAACGTATATGTATCCATCTAAGTGTATATCATCCATCTCACACAAAAATATGCACGTAAAATTTACATAAGTCTTAATTACCCTGGATTTTATTATTGGGATTTAGGTGAAACAGTACAATGTTCTAATAAAAAACAAAAACACTTTTTTTGTGTGTTGAACAGACTATACCAGACATTGCGGATTCATTTTTAACAGGGACACAAATTATATATATTATTTCATTATATTATCACATGATATTAGCCACAATTTATTGAGAGCAGATGTCTAAAGTATGAATGTATATGATTTGCTTGTTTCAACCAATGATGCAATAAGATATAACAGGGACCCAATTCAGAGTTTCCCTAATATATATATATATATTTTTTATATATAAGAATTCTGTTATAGATCTTGTAGAAAAACCATAGTAGCAGCCACATGTCACAATTATGTAACAAGACAAAAAGAGGGTTGCACTCAGTCACAAATTTAAACATAGGGTGCACGGAGCATGGGTCAGCAAATCCCAGACCATCTGTATCAAAGAAAAAAAATCTCAGGCACTCACTGTGATCACTTCCATGCAGTTTTATTGCAACATTTTGACCTACAACAGGTCTTTATGACAGGGCTTCAGAAACAGTACATTAGATAATTGTGATGTGTGGCTGCTAACGGTTTCTACAAGACGTACATACATACACATATATACATATATACACACACACTCTCTCTCTCTCTCCAGAAGGTCAATCAGAATTTTTATAATTTTAAGAAAATGATGCAAAGTTTTTGGAACTAAAAATAAGGAGTTTATTTACATATACTGTGATAAGTGGGGATATGACAAGCATATGGTAAGGTTTCGGCCAAGATAGTGAGATATGAAAAATTCTCCAATACGATTATTTTCTAAATTTCATTTAAAATATATAATCAAATATACTCAATGAGTTTACCATCATCATTCCTTAGCTGTTCCTAACAACACGTTCAGGATATCCTGGCCTGAGATATATTTATCTACTCATTTAGGAGTCATTTCATGGACAATGCTACAGCAGCTCCGGTTACAATATAATGATAGGTAAATAAAACAAAAGCTAGTTTTGCTTGACTTAAGCACGAAGATCATCACATAAATGCTACCATAAAAGTATTCTGGAATTGCTTTAGTTATAAATGAAAGGTCTGGTGCACATCCACTAGGATTTTATTCTTTCACCCGGACATGCATGAGCTGGTGTCGTTTCAAGTGTGGGTCCTGACGAAATGTTTTACCACAATCTTGACACTCAAACGGTCTCTGCCCTGCATGCATGAGATAGTGTCTCTCAAGTTTGGAAGGGGACAGGAAAGTCTTGGTGCAGACACTGCAACTGTAGGTCTTTACTGACCCCCAGGTTCCCATTGTCCTCATGGGGCACTCTGTACGAGGGTTTGTAATCCGATCTCTTGGCAAACGTGTCTTGGGCTTCCTGCAAATTATTTTTGGAGACCTTGGGATGTCTTCACTGGTGGGTTCTATTTCTACCTTTATTTCCGCAATTGTGCATTTTGTGATTTGATCAAGCCCTTGCAAGTTTTCCACTGGACTTGTGGCATAAACTAGTGGAGGTTGATACCCCATCTGCTCCTCTTGCAGGTACAGACCTCCAGAAGAACCATGTGCCTCGTGAGAAGTAACTTTCTTTATGTGAGTTACTTGGTGCCTTTTTAAATGAGCAGCTTGACGGAACCTATTTCCACATTCAGTGCAAGCAAATG